ATCATCATGACTATGAATGGCAGCAGCGCGCACCAGATCTGCCAAAAGGCCGTGTAGGCAGCCTCCTTGTGCCAGGCTGCCACACACATCCACTTGAATTGGTCAAATTCCAAAGAGGACCAGCCAAAAAGGGGAGGGAGGCAGCCAATAAGGGAATGCAGCCACACGTACACAAGAGCTACCACTGCTCTGTTGCCCGTTATCTTCATCGGATAAACCATCGGGTACAGCACAGCATAGTACCTGTGGGGCAAGAAAAGAAGTAGACCACAGGAGCATAAAAGACATGCAATAAAGAAAAGAACATGCTTTAATGATGCTGGTATCTAGTTCTTTTTTCTTCGAACAGGCTTAGAAGCCCTGTTTCTAGAAATAGTTACATATAAAAGTAGGTATCACTGCAGTCAAGACTGTCAAACTTGGCTGAAGGGACACAGGCAACCATGAAATCTGTACCTATGTGTGATTGTATGTTTAGGGTATAATCTGGAATTTTAAGTCACTATTTCATGTTTGTTAAATAGTGTGTTATTATACCATCAAAAGCTTTAAAAAACTCTAGACGAATGTCTGCATTTTCCAGTATTGATGAAATCACGTTCTCTTGCTCCACATTAAAATTTCATGAGGAGCTGAAGTAAAAATGACACTCTGGCAGTACACCATGTAACCCTCTGCAGTGCTTCTCAACTCTGTGAACAAGCCATGGTTCCTCTATGAGAGGAGCAGGCAATTTGTTACAATGCATTACTGAAGAGCAGCTTACCGGTCTATAGCTATGAGTCCCAGAGTGAGCATGCTGGCTGAGCTGATCAGCATGTAGAGCAGGGCTGAGAAATTGCACCAAACAACGCCAAAGATCCATTCTCGCCTGATGGAGCTGGTCACGACAAAAGGCAGCACCAGCACGGAGAGTAGAAAGTTGGAGAGGGTCAGGCTGAACACAAACTTGTTGCTCAAGGTGAGAAGGTATGACTTGCGATACAGAGTGACAACAATCACCAGGTTGCCCAAACAGATGAAGATGGCAATGACAATTATAGCAATGGATTCAGTGACTCTGACTGCCCCGTCTTCCTCCGTGGTCAGGTTCCTCAGGCCCTTCCCATTGCTGAGGGAGGAATTGCTGCTCATGGTCAGAGCATGCAGACCTGGAGCAGCCAAGACATGCTGAGCAGCTAGAAGCAGAACAACGCTCAGAAACATTCAGGTAATAGCTCTTCAAACTCCTTCCCAAGACTGGAGGCCCTTTTGCCTGTGTTAAAATTTACCTGTAGTATGCAGGAAATTGCATATTTTATATGGGCAAGTGAAGGGGCAGTAAATTGCCTGTGAGCACACCAAAGAGGACAACACCAAGCCTGGAACAGGGAAGACAAGAAGAGATAAGGGGGGAAAATAAGAAAGAAAATACAGATTTTCTACAGATTTTCTACAGACCTTACTTGTTTCTAAGTCCTACTTACTAGCCCTTTCATCTAGGCTGTGAAAAAACAAGAATGTAATTTATTTCTTCAAGAAACAAGATAAATATCAAATATCTTTTTTTCTCTTACTTTAAAGAAAGTTCTTAGAAAATTCTGCCTATCCTGATAGTTACTTTGTATTCTGCCTATACAGCATTTGCTAGTGGTCTATGGATGCCTGGCTAGTCATACCCTGCTGACTCTTAACAGTTGCTAAGTAACATTCAAAGACTCAGGGACCACTGCATGTACTCTCCTTACATCTATTATGTGTGTTCACAATCAACTTAGCTATGCTGCTGATTGTATTTTACTGCCAACACCAAAGGATTGGAGGAATTGGCTTTCTGTACATGAGGTCTGAAAGACACTTCCTTGCATTAAGATAAGGTCCATGCTATAGAAATGCTTTAGAACCTTTAAACCTTGACTTCTCAGTGTTAGCATCCATCCCATTGATTCACAGCCTCATTTTATGAAACCTTGTTATTTCTTCCAATTCCTTAGCAATTCCTCTTTTCCCTGCTGCCTCTAAATGGTACTCACTAACTACTTTGTTCAGTGCTTCACCCATCTGCAGGACGGCATAAGAACTAAGAAAGAAACAAAAAATTCAAATACACAGACCAAAAAAAGTAAAAGAGTCCACCAATGAATATAAAGTTGATTTTAGCATTTCTAGGAAGTAAGGGCCTCAGGAAAGTTATCTTAGCTAATTCTGCAACTGTGCCAAACATGGGTCCCAGACAGTACTCACAGAAATGCTTCCATCTGCATGGCTGCTGTGGAATTACGCAGGGCTGTCAGTGTGGAAAGACGCCTTTTTTCCATTTTTATCTGTACTTTCCTAGGAACATAACACATTACTTGGCCATGCACTGAAAAAATGTAATATAGCTGTTCCCTAGCCTCTGACTGAGGATGTGTGCAAAAAACACTTCCCCTTGAGTTTCTTTCTGTCTCAGCATGCCTGTACCACCTCTGTGTGCCCTTCCAACACTTTTTGGCCGGAGCGGGTTTTGGAAAGGCGGCTTCCCCCGCAGCCGCTCCCTGCGATAGCGATAGCCGGGGCACCTGGCGCTTCCCCTCACGGCCCTGCTGCACCCTGAGGGGGAAAGCGACCTCTGGCCCCTCCCGGGCCAGGGCTGCCCGTGGCGGGGATAGCATCCGCATCCTATCCCGGCCGCGGGCAGCGCAGTCAGGCTTCCCGCACACCCACGAAGCGGGTGGGACTGAGTTGTAAATACGGTGGGGAAGGGGGGTTTCGCCATTTTGCACAAGCGCTCCCTCCGGCAGCGAACAAAGGGCTGGAATAGGTCGTCCGCCCCGGGCATCCATCGCCTCCCCCTCACCCGCCGGCGGAGAGCGGGTCCCGCCGCCTCTGTCTCCTCCCCGGCTCCGCACTCACCGTCCGCCGCCGCCAAAGCGGGACGTTCCTGGCTGAAGCACCCAGGACCCCCGACACCGAGCGTCCCCCGCCATGGGCACGGCCCCGGCCCGTGCCTGCCCCTCCCGCCGTCCCGCCCCGCCGCCTCAGCCCGCCGCGCCCCCTCCCCGCCCGCCATGTTCCCCCTGCCGCCCTGGGTCGGTCCGCGCGTCCCGGGAACTCGGTTAAAAGGCAGGGGGAAAGTACTTCACACGGATGAGGTAAAGTCATTTGCCCCGATTTGTAGTGCCATGCAGCTTTAGAGTCTAAGTGGTATACTTCCGAGACCCCAAAACACTATTAAAAGTAACAAAAAGAAGATTTGGGGAAGAGTTGTTCCCGCACGCACCTCTGAAGCAAGATATCGGATATAGGTTCAGTATACAGGGCACAATATAAAGGGTGAACAAAAATTAAATACCGTGCTTGTGTCTTCCTAGTTCCTGCCTTTCCTGGCAATGCCCTTGAGTGCAGAGGGTGACTGCCCTGATGTGAGCTGTGCTGGGTTTTGATTGCTCTGTGGAGTTTTTAATGTTGTGGACATCAGTTTCCTATGGCTGTTGCCTCAGTTCACTCCAATGCTCCAACAGCAGGAGCTGGACGGTGTGTCTTGCTCCTGTGCCAGGGGAAGGCTATAGGGAGTTAGTCTGCCCTTTCAATGATGCAGAAAAGCAAGACAACCACCCACCCATCAGTGCTGGAATATTAAGGTGATCTATAATTTTCAACCAGTTCTACTGATACTTTTCTACAGGACTTTTTTAAACTTACCACATCATTGCACTTCGACATTTTAAAAAGACCATCTTTGGACAGCATTCAAAAATGTATCAATCCAGCACAAGAGATTTCACAACCAGCAAAAACTGATGCACAGTTGTGCCTGAATGTGAGGAAGAACTTATTTCCTGTGCAAGTGACTGTGCACTTGTTGCCTAGAGAGGTTGTGGAGTCTCCCTCACTGAAGATACTCCAGACCTGTCTAGGCACAATAACATGCCATGTGCTCTGGGATCACCCTGCTTGAACAGGGAAGTTGAACCACATGATCCACTGTGCCCCATTCTAACCTTGCTCAGATGTGATTCTGTGTGCACACATATGTGTGTACTAACACAGCACAGGGCACCTGTGTGATGGAGCCACGTAATGCTTGCTGCAACTGTAAGTGTGGCCATGGAGATGGCCCAGGGCCACCAGAGGCTCCAGAGCTCCCCAAAACTGCTTGTACCCAGCCGTCCCACTCCTCTCAGCAAAGTACCCATGGGGAAGTGGCTGGAGGCACAAGCACTTGTAAGGCACACAAAATTCTCAGCTGGCTTCTGCAGTCCAGCTTCACTGGAACAGAGGCTTGGGTGAGTTTGCTGGCTCTTCATCCTGAGCAGGGGAGATTAAAGAGCCTACTCTCGCTACGGAAGCTCCAGCAGCACAGAGAAGTGTGGACCCCCTTTCTCACCCACCTGCCCCTCACATCACCTCCCAGAGTCACAGCCTGGGTAGGTTGGAAAGGGACACAACGGGTCATCTGATCTGACCACCCTGCTCAAGCAGGGTCATCTCAGAGCTCATGGCACAGGGTTGTGTCTCGATAGGTCTGGAATATCGCCAGTGGTGGAGGCATCACAACCTCTCTGGACAACCAGTTCCAGTGCTCGGTCACCTGCACAGTAAAGAATTTCTTCCTCATGCTCAGCTGGAATTTCTGTGCATCAGTTTCTGCCTGTTGCCTCTTGTCCCACCACGGAGAAGAGTCTGGATCCATACTCTTGGAATCCCCTCTTTAGATATGTGTACACATTGATGAGTGCCTCTCTCGGCCAGCGATTCTCGAGGCTGAACAGGCCCAGCTTCCTCAGCCCTTCCACCTAACGGAGATCAGTCGCTTTATCATTTTCGCTGCCCTCCGCTGGACCCCCTCCAGAAGCTCCATGTCTCTCCTGTCCTGGAGAGAAAATGCAGATGTGGGCTCACTAGAGCTGAGCAGAAGGGCAGGATTCTCTACGTCGCCCTGCTGGCAGCGCTCTTCCCGATGCCTCCCAGGATTCCTCCACAACCGCCGCCGGGGCTCCGCGCCGCGCGGCCCTGGAAGCGGAAATGCTGCGGGGCGGCGGTTCCGGGGCCGCGACGCTGCCGTGAGTGCCGTGCGGGAGGAGACGGGAGGAGAGGGGCTCCTCCGCTCCGCCTCTCCGCCCCTGCCGCCTGCTGCCTTCTGCTCGGCGGAGAGGAGGCCGCCATGCACCCCGTTTTCCAGAGCAGCCGGCGCGACTTCACCTTCGGGCCGTGGAAGCTGAGCGCCGCCCGAACGCACATCATGAAGTCGGCGCAGGCCGAGAGGTGAGGCGGGCTCCGGGCCGGGGACGCAGGGGGACACAGCACAGCACGGTGTCCCCGCTGCTCGGGGAGCCCCCGCTGCTCGGGGCTGCGGCCTCGGCCGTCACAGCGAGGGGCTGGGGTTGTCGGGTGGCCTTGCAAAGGAAACACCGAGCGTTCCCAGGGCGGGGGAGACCCTGTTCGGCCCCCGGGGTTGTTCCTTCTCTTCAAGCTTGATTCTCTGGCTGGAGAATTTTGGGTTACAGGTGATTTCCAAAATTTTGTTTTAATGATTGGAGAAGTCAGCCTACAAGAAGACGAAGAGGGACGTTTTACAAGGGCAGGTAGTACGAGGACAAGGGAGAATGGATTCGAACTGAAAGAGAGGAGATTTAGATTGGACCCTAAGAAAGAAATTCCTGATTGTGATGGTGGTGAGTCACTGGAACAGAGTGCCCAGAGAAGTTGTAAATGCCCCATCCCTGGAGATGTTCCAGGCCAAGTTGGATGGACCTTTGGGCAGCGTGGTCCAGTGGAGGTGTCATTGCCCATTGCAGAGGGGTTGGAACTTGACCTTTAAGGTTTTTTTCCAACTCAAACAATTCTGATTGTATTATTATAATGGTTTTGGATCCAAATCTCTGTGAACTGAGACCCACTAATTAGAAGGCTAATTGTCTTAATTACTTTTGAAAAGGAATATTTTTAATGTCATATGTCTTGGTAATAGCTATTTTTAAATAGTGGTTTTCATTAAAAATTTATAATTTGCTCTCTTCCTGTAGGAATTTCCAATCCAGTGAAATAATTGGAGGAAATGTTCCTGTACCAGCATTAAGTACTTAAGTCAGATTTGCTAATGTGGAACTGGAGAGTTCAGCTGTGCCATAACTGACCTTAATGGCAGATGGATTTGGCAGATATTTCTTAGTTTCATTTTCTGGAATAAATTTCAGTGTACATGAGAATCTCATTAGTCTTGTTAAATGTACTTTCATTTATCTTGCTTTTACCTTTTCTGAGGCTAATAAGGCATTCTCTGGGAGGAACTGGCTGCTGATGGCTGGGATGTGTGCACTGTTTGCTGGGTAAAACATTGGATGGCTGAGCTCAAAGAGTGATGGTGAATGGGACTTACATCCTTCTGGTGACCCATCAACAATGGTGTTCCCCAGGGCTCAGGGGCCAGTCCTGTTCAATATCTTTATTGATAGTCTGGACAAGGTGATAGAGTGCACCCTCGGTAGGTTCACAGATGACCCCAAGCTGGGTGGAAGTGTTGATTTGCTGAAGGGTAGGAAGGCTCAACAGAAGGATCTGGGCAGGCTGAATCAATGAGCTGAGGCCAGCCACATTGTAGGAGGTGCAACAAGGTCACAGCGACCCATTTTGTCTATTTTATTGCTTGGAGGACATTATTAGTATCCATAGGAATTTTATTTCTGGCAAATAGATATTGTAAAAATTCCTCAGCAACCTGTGTGGAAAGGTGAAGGATTAAATGTGCCATAGCCAAGAACTCTCTTCTATGCAGGGGTTGGTTTTTGCAGGGAAAGGGTTCTTACACTTGATGAAATGGAAAGGTTTCATTGTCTTCTTTGGCAAAAATGTAGAATCTTAATTCTCCAGGTCTGTGAATTTACTGGTTTTATTTTAGTTAAGTTAATACTGTTCTTTTGTATTCAGGGTTACAGAAATAACCATTTTTGTTCAGGAATGCCTTGTTATCAATGTGAACATTATGATTAGGACACTCTTCTCCCTCCCCTCACTCAAATAAGTGTATTTCCTAAAGCTTTCTTCTCTCCAGATGTCATGTATTCCTTTTTGATTTTGGGAAGTCAGGTAGGTAAGGAGGAAAAGAAGTGTGAATTTCTAAAGAATTTTAGGAAGTGTGCCAGTACATGTCTTCTACCAGCAGAGCACAGTAGTGTCTTCTGCACTTTTTAGATACTCTGCCAAGGTTGTCATAAGCATCTTTTTTGTAGGGTTCTAAATTTGGAAGTATGGACCACTGTGCAGTGAATTCAATCTTCCTCATGATAAGTCCTTGTTCCTAAAAGTTGCTTTGAGCACCTACTGAAGTTGGTCCACTGCCCATCCAGGGGTTTGCTAGGACAGATGGAAAATTGCTTCTACATGCTTCTCACATACTCTTGATTCCTCATGTGTTAGAATTTTGTCTGAGCCTGATGGTGTAGGAATGTTTTAGGAGTACTTCTTTTGGTGAAAAAGTCACTTCAGATCAATGACTCTGCATTTCAGGTGAAATTATTAACCTGGTGATGTATCTTCTAAGTTATCATGGTCTAAAGAATCCTTCTTCCAAAACAAGAACTGCTTTAATTGAGCTGTGGTCAGCTGACTGATACCTCTTTTATTTTTCTCTGCAGGTTGGCTGATGAATTACACATGCCTTCCCTGCCAGAGATGATGTTTGGAGACAATGTCTTAAGAATACAGCATGACCATGGCTTTGGAATTGAGTTCAATGCTACAGATGCTTTAAAATGTGTCAATAATTGTCAAGGTATGATCAAAGTCGCTTGTGCAGCGGAGTGGCAAGAGAGCAGGTACAGTAATTTTATCACCAGAGGGGAAGTACTGGTGTGTTATATATGAAACTGTTATACAGTAGTTAAAGGAACAAACTGAACTCTTGACCACATTGCATTTGGTTGTACCCTAGATACAGCATGTAATCACAGAAGTCACTTTTCTTTGCTGTGATCATCCTTTCTGTTAAATTGGGCCAGCTATATTTTTCAGCTGTGTCATATCTTTCTTAAAGTAAATGTCAAGTTTAATGACTTAATGCTGTTTCTGTTTATTCAAACTCATAGAGCCTTGAGCATTACAAGACTGTATTGTGTGGTGTTGCAAAGTGCTGTACGTGTTCAAAATCTTAGCCTTAGGAATAAAGCAGAACAGTCACCATGCATGAGAACTAATTATGATGCTTAGTATTTACCAAATTTGATTTAGTTGTAGAGCATCTGGAATAAAGCCCAGAAACAAAGCAAAGTTATCATGAAAACTAAGGCAAATTGCAATTTTAATGATTGCTGTGTGTTGTCAAGAGATCACTTTCTGCCTACTTAAAGAAATACTGATCTTGAAATACAAATTTCTCAGCAATGTTGCATGAGAATCTTTATTTTGAGTCATAGAATGGAGATAGATGGAGAATTCTGATAATTGTTTTCAAAGTTATTATGGAAACAGATGTGAAACCATGATTAAGTCTTGACGTGATTGCAGCTCAGACAATGCTGCTGTTTTTCTTTAGGAGCAGTGTGGGAATTCTAATGCACAGTCTTAAGTGAGGTTGTAATTTTTTGAGAAAAGCAATTACTACAAAGCTGTTTTCTCTTTCACTGTTGAGGAGTGAGGCTGAGCACAGTAAGGAAGTTGTCAGGCCATATGACTGGACTTACACAACGGATTACAAAGGAACTTTGCTGGGAGATACTGCAACATTAAAGGTAATAATTTCCTTCTTGTTAATTGCTGACTGCATCTTGCTTCAGTCAAGCTTTTTTTTTAAAAAGCTGTCATTTACCTTTCAGTAGGCTTCTGTAAAACCTTTTGTGCTTTGCAATTTCTGATTTCAAAGTGTAATTTGGGCTTCTTATGTCTTTCAGCTCATGATTTTATTGTAATCAAATCATGGCTTATTTTAATAACGAGGGTGGGTGGTGTCCTAAAGCATTTTAGGATTAAAGCACATCAGAGGCTTCAGCTCTTGCTGGGGTCCGCTCTGGAGCCCCTCACTGCTCATGTACAGCAGAACTATCAGCTGTGTCATTCTGTAGTGCCTTCGTGCTCTGCTGCTTGCATGTTTTATCTGCTTTCTGACCTGGCTGCATTCAATGACCTAATGTTTTTCTGCAACAGCAATTCGGTAACTCCTCCTATTTAAACTTGCAGGCCTTCCCATGTCTTTATTTTTGTGAAAATAAGACTGAAGTTCCCAGTTTCTGTGTACTGCATGCAGGTTGCTTGCTACTAAGCAGGTGTTCAAATGTTTTGAAAGAAAGTGAGCAGAATTGTTCGCAGCTGAAACCCTAGTTAGCTTGGTACCCAGAGAGAAGTATAGTCAGAATTTTCCACTCTTAGTTTTTGGTTTTGGTTGATGCTATTTCCAAGAAGAAACTCTTGGAAACTTTGATTTTAACTTTTTCTCTTAGAAATTTGGGGTGTCTTAAGCTTAATGCACTAGAAATTTTTTCTTTTTAAAATTCTGGAATTCAAAATATCAGGATAAACTTTATGTAGTTTGGCAAAAAATTAATATGCTAACTGTTCTTAATGGTTTTTCTCTAGGTTGTTCCTACAACAGAACACATAAATACAGAGAAATTGAAAGCCAGGGAACAAATTATGTTTTTTGAAGAAGTACTCCTGTTTGAAGATGAACTCCATGATCATGGAGTATCAAGTTTGAGTGTGAAAGTAGTGAGTATTGGGAGGTGTATAAAAGATACCTGGGGACTCAGTTGGCTGATTAATGCAAAACACAGCTCCTTTGTGCATGTTATTCCTTCTGGGATTTAAACTTTAAAGCACAAAGTTCTTCATCCTTGCTCTTGAAAATATGATCTTACTGGAGATGAAGTTGTTTTGAAGCCTTTGTCATCTGTCATTTGCTCCAGGGGATAATCTTTTCCCTCCTAATAGTCCATTGAGATATCGTCTGCCCCCCTGGCCAGTCATAGCTGTAGCAGATCAACAGCCCAGATTTTGACTTCATTCTTGAAAACTTCTCATATTGTCTTCTACTGTGAATATCTGATGTCGACAAGTACATGCTTAAAGTAAGCCTTTGTAAGGTGCTGATTGGGCTGTCTTTATTTTTGCAGAGAGTTATGCCTTCCAGCTTTTTTGTGCTGCTGAGGTTCTTCTTGCGAGTGGATGGGGTACTCATCAGGATGAATGATACAAGGCTTCATCATGAGGTAAACCCTTACTTTCCATCATGAGATATTTTACAGAGGTTCCCTTGCCATTTTACTTCCAGTGACCCAGTGATATTCCTCTAACTTAATACTGATGTTTGAGGGCACAAAAACTTCTGAGTGTGTTTTATTACTGTGGCGGTGCTGAGCTAGGAACCAAGTGCTGGATGCCATGGTGTATGAGCAGAGTAGTTTACCCCTCATGTGATGTAATCATTTAAATACATTTGACAGACACAGATTAGAGAAGGAAGTACAAGAGGAAAAATAGGCAGCAGTAAACAGTTCAATACTGTCTTGTATCCAAGTACATTATTTTTGTCTTACCTACTAGAATTAGACTGTAAGTGTAACTTGCAAATAACTGTCCATAATACATTGAGTTCTGGTATCTCATAAATAATACAGGATGCTAAGATTTGGGGTTTGGTAATCATGTGTAGGAGTTCTAGCTGAGTAAAAATTAACAAGTATATTCAGTCATAGAGTTTTTTTTGAAGCATGCACACAGGTGGTTTTTGGAAAAAAACAACATTGTTATCAGCTGTCTTAATGAACTTGAATGTGTGTTTCTTCTCTTAGGTGAAAATATGTGGTCAACCGAATTCCAATGCTTTCTAAATTCAGTCTATTTAAAATGCTTGTTTGTACTGATACCAGATGATTGCTTTTTTCCATTAGGCTGACAAGACCTACATGTTGCGAGAATACACATCCAGGGAAAGCAAAATATCAAATTTAAAGGTATTGCATTTTAAAAACTTTGTTTCTTTTCTTTCTGTGTGCTTTTAGTTTCATGGTTAGCATAGAAAATACTGTGTCTCTTAAGTCCTTCTTTGTTCAGTTTAGGACTAATACAGAGGAAAGTTCTTTCTACTTATGCAGTTTTTGTTTTGGTGATTTTAGAGCAGATTTACATATTGTAAATGCTCAGATCACATGACAGGGTATGGGATCAGGTCACTTTTTCTACTGCTGAGTTAATAAAATGTTTTTATTATTTTATTTTTTCATAGAACTGTTCAGCTGCAAAATCAGGTGCTCCGTGTCCCATGATGTTAAATTTCATGGCTGGTTGTGTGCTTCCAAGCAGTATTAAGGGTTAAGATCTGTTTGGTAATAGACTCTTCCAGTTTTTCTCAAATATTTGAGGCTTATGGGTCACCTTAAAACTCTGGTAATGGCTCAGAATAATTTGTGGTACATTTGGATTTTTATTTGTGACAAAAGCCTGAACTTTCATTTTCTTGTACCTTTCCTCCTCCCTTACTTTTCTTTTGCCTTTGAAGCTGGTGTTTGCCTCCAGTAAATTATAAATTGTCTGTAATAGTTTGGGGGTGGAATAGCTTTTCTTATCTCCACTTTTCTTTCACTCATGTAATGTAAAATATTTGCTTTTTAGAACGTTCCACCTTCCCTGTTCACGGAACCTAATGAGATCTCTCAGTATCTACCCATAAAGGAGACAATCTGTGAAAAACTAGAATTCCCAGAGAAGCTGGAGCCTCAACCAGAAACATCACTGGAAACCACTTGTGCTAAGCCTAAATAAATGTGACTTTTTAAGGATTTGAAGTTTACTGGAGATGATGTGATTGCAGTTGTTGACATGGAGGGCGTTTCACTACTAGTGGAATGAAGAATTTGGCTCATTTTTCTGTAGCCTTGAGAGAAAACATTTCAAGCAGGTTTTACTAATGTGGTCTTTTTTGTTTGGATTTTTTTTAACCTATGTCTGGAGTTGATGATAGACTGGTGGTGAGTTACGGTTTTCAACAGCATTGGAGAAATGACTGTTGGGAGTCTGGGTTCTGTTGAGTTCACAAGCAGGCAGGACTATTGTCTGGACCCCTCATCCACTAACAGTTCTAAAAAGATTTTGTTACTGCTGCTTCAGATACTAAGAAACTACCAGAGTTGTAAAACTGGCATGATTTTATTATTTATTATTGAGAAATAATCCACAGTAAAAAAAAAAAAAAAATCCTCTGCATTTATTTTGATCTGTTTGTCCTAAACTACCCATTTTGCTTGGCTTCCCCTACTGATAATCAACAAAGTTACTTCTTGTGGTTTCTGGTCCAGAGTCTCACTTTAAAATATTCATTTCATCTGAGGATAGGTTTAAGTGTAGGGAAAAAAAGTATATTTGTTTGACACTATATAAAGGTAAAATTATTTGTGAGGCATTAACTCCAGAGCAGGAAGAGAGCTGGAGGTTAACAGAGAGACACTGGTAAGTCTCTTCACAAATGCTGGTTAAATCTGGTGTCAGCTGGAGTTCTCTGGGCAGTTCTGGAGCTCTCACTTGGGGTCCCTGTGCTACTCCAGTCATGTGTGATGCTGGAAAGGCATTGCCCTGTACTGGCCTTCTGGATGTGCCTATATGGGGATGGTTCTGCTGCCCTGACGGCCAAATTGCAAAACTGCAGTGGGGCTTAAGGCTGGGGAAGTCTGATCCCTAAAGGATGCTGGTATTTGCAGTTTGAGAAATGAGATCCTGTAGGGCCTTAGAAGGATGCCAACATGTATTCCAGACACATAATTTTGGTTTAAAATTTTTCTAAGTTATAATATTGATAGAAGTGTGATCACTTGTATAGTCATGGTTTCAACACTCTGTAGATGAAACTGAATACTTGCGTTGCTGGTGGAAATCCTGCAGTACATTACTGGTTTGGCCTAAGAATGGGGCAGCTAAGCAGGTTTGTCTGGGTTTGCTGCTGACACTCAGTGCAGGAAACAAGTAACTGCAGTGAAAAGCAGTTACAAGGTGCTTGCAGATAAGAACATGGACACATTCTGATGTCTTGGGGTTTTTGTTTAAAAATCTTCATATTCTACACTGCATGGCTTAACTAGAAGTAACTCGCCACAAAACCTAGTATTTAACCATTTCTTTTGTGATGTGGTTTTCATTGACACTGATGTTTTTTTTGGTGGGGGAGGAAAGTGTACTGCCATCTAAGGGACTGTTTACAAATCACACACAAATTTCACTTTTATTTGAGGCAGCCTGGTCTAGTGAATTCTACAGCAGGTGGAAAGGCAGGAACTAACTGCAATTTTTCCTGTGTCACTGATTTACTCTAACCATGGCAAAGGCATTTTCCTGTGCCTCCATTCCCTGTATGTAAAAATGAGTGTTAATATATGCCTACATCACAGAGAGACTGTGAGGATTAATTTGTACAAAGATATTGATTAGAATATTTTTTTTCTGAAAACACCTTCAGCCTTATCTTTGGAATCCTTTGGAAAGGATTACTGCAAAAAAAAAAAAATCCATAGGATAAGTGGAGAGAACTGAAACAGTTTCTGAAAGAAGTCAGTGGTGATAACTCAGATAATTATCAGACATGATCTGGGTGAATGAATTTATGGCCACTTTGAAATAGAAGCAAGGTCCTCTATGTGCCCCATTACAGTCCTAAATTCTGTTGGATTTTTTTCATCTTTCTGCCCTTGTTTCCTAAACAGTTTAGAGTCAGGATGCAGAAGGGGACTGCGAATGAATGCAGCACCAAAGGGATTAAAATCCGTTTAATAACAGAAGATTCTTTGGGTCCACTCCAGTGATAGAGGGAAGTGGGGAAAAAGTGAAAAGGAAGGGAACAACAAATGGGGGTGAAGAGATATTTTCCTGGTAGAAGTAAATCATGGCACTTACTCTAAGCATATATTATTGTACATGCCTTAGAGCTTATAAAAACACTTTACAGCTGGTATGACTGGGAGCAGAGCTTATGTAGTGCTGGCATGAAGGAAACTATATCTGCATTTGTTAATTCAAACTGTGATTTGAGCTTGGTCAGTGATGCTAACATTAAACTCCTTTGGTCTGAAATAGAGTGTGGGGGGAAAGCCACAGAGTGGGGAGGGAGCAGTGGAAAGGGTGCTCTGCATGTTTAGCTTATACTGTGTGTTTTCTCTTGTCCGTCATACATCCTAATTTGTAACCTCTTGGTAAAGTTTTATGGAATGGACTTTTATCCTGACTCTATACTCTCCATCTGTTCTAAAGGGTGCTGTGCATTTCAGTGGAACACACCTGTTGGAGAAATCACAAGAACACCATTAGCAAGTTACAGTTACAACAAATTCAGAAGTGGAGCACTTTGTGACTTTCTTACACCATGCAGATTACCAAGAAGCAGCAGTAAAAACTGTTGTACAGCAAGTGTTCTGACACAAAATTTCCACATTAAAGCACCACTTTGTATAAATAACTTCAGTGGGGAGGGAGTGGGGTGATTCTCCAGCTATTTTGTGTCGAGTTTTATGTGGCAGTTTATATTGTTCCTTGTATGTTGCTAAATAAAACGTAACAAACGTTTTACAGTTCTGTTTTTAACTGAGCAAAATAAATTGAAATAACAACTTGTAATGTTGAATTTTGGCTTCTAGTAGGACATTGCATCCACATCCCTTAATCTGGCAGGAGACTGCTAGGCTCATTACGAAAATAAAGTGAGCAGGAGAAGAGGCACAGTCGTGGGATTAAAATGAAACCTCACCGACTATAAAATGAATTTTGCTACTGCCAAGCGATGGATTGGAAAGTGCTGGGAGGAGGTAGGATATATCACATCTGGACTACATCCCCCGGCAGGCTGGGCGCCGCCCCGCCGGCCTTCCCCCTACCTGTGGCGTGCAGGTGGGCGCGGTGGCTGCCGGGGCTGGTAGTCCCTGGGGAGGGTAGGGCATTCCAGCCGGCCGGGCGGGGTGCGGAGCCATGGACAAGCTGAAGCGGGTGCTGAACGGCCGCGACGCGGAGGAGCCGAGCGGCCTGGCCGAGGTAGCGCTGCCGCCGCCGGGCGGGGGCCCGGCCGCCCGTCCCCGGTGTGCTCGGCGCGGGGGCGGAGCGGCCACCCCGGAGCCCGCGCGGCGGACGGTCCCGCGGGTCTCCGCCAGCGCTGCCCCGCGGTTCCCGGAGCCGCGGCATGGCCCGCGCCCCGCGGGACACTCGGGAGGGTGCCTGAGCGGACACGGCGCGGCAGAGCCCAAGAGGAAGTTTTCGCCCTCGGTAAGACGCGGGAGCGACAAGTAAACAAGTTTCGCTTTTGTTTTTCTCCTCGTTTCTAGGTTATCGATGCCACTTCCTTAGGTTGGGACACCCGAGTGAAAGGTTTCATTGCGTGTTTTGCGATCGGATGTCTGTGCTCGATCTTGGTAAGGCCTTATTAGCAGATCTCCCCGATATTTTTGTTTCGGGAGCCCAGATTATTACAGCCTCCCTCTGTGCTGTTGCTTGATTTTCCCCACTCTCTGCGGAGACGTTTGACTCGCTTCCAGTTAGATGCAATACGCTGACTCTTAACAAGAATACCAGTAAATGCGATTTACTTTCCTATGCGTGATTTTACAGTTTGGCTTGAAGTTTTCTTAAGATTTCTTTTGTGACATGACACTTCTTGAATATTTATATTTGTTTCAGTTTAAAACCTGTTAATTTCCCCCCAACTCCTTTCTCTCCAAATGTTCCTTTTTAGGGTAGTTGTCTGCTATGGATACCAAAGAAAGGGCTGGTACTCTTTGCAGTGTTTTATACCCTGGGGAATATTGCATCCATTGGGAGGTAACAACCTTTATATATATTTCTGTAATACAGATGAGAAACAAAAGCAGAATGATAGTGCATGAGTGGTAGAAGCTGTTGCATTTGCAAGAGAAGATTTGCTTTTGTAGATAATTTTCTTGTTGAATTCTACAGAACAGCATTTCCCCAGTAGTGCAGTGAAATGGTAAAGAAAATTTTAATTTTGTTTATTATTATTAGTAATGCATTCAAGGTAAAAGTTGCTCATCAATAAACAGGAATCACACTCATGCTGTGAACATGAGGTTTTTTGATTTTGTTCGTTCCTCCTCCCCCAGATAAAATAATTCTTTGCCATTTTGCATTTGGAAGTGCTCCGTGTGTTTTGGTGATTATGTTTGGGGCAGTCTGTCAGGGCAAGCATATGTAGTAAGACTTCATGGCCATCTAGGTTCTTAAAGCAAAGCCCTACATACTCCGTGACAGGCCCAGCTTTCTGTGATTGTGGAAACTTGTCGTGATGCAGGAAATCATAAATAATGCTTCCAATGGATTTGGAAGTAATATGCTAATGAGCAGAATAATATAGTATATGAGGCAGAAATATCACTTTAGATAAAAGTTTCACCTTGTATAATTCATCCAGTATCCATCACCAGGGCCCTAAATGAGGCTGCAGATCTGGTAAGGGATCAGAGAACGGATCCAGGCATGAAAACAGCCTTTTATGTAAAGGAATTGAGCTGGATTACCTGGCAATCCATGCAGAGCCTCTGTGGATGGTGTTGTTGAAAAGCAGATTTAAAAGGCATTTTTGAAAAGCAGGTTAGAAAAGCATCTGTCAAGGATGATCTGATTTGAGCTGACCTTGGCCTGTGCTTCTAACTTGATAGTTGTGCTCTGCTTCTGTTAATTTTAACAGAACAAGTGTGAATAAAATTGTAAATACTTTGCACAAAGAAAAGGAGGAATGGATTTAGTCTCATTATATAATCCCATTTCTTTTGTTATTCCGCACTGATTGCCATAACAACACAGTGTACTGATGCTCCTATGGCAGCAGACAGTCTAATCTTACCGAGTTTCACTTTTGCCTTTCTCATTTCCATGTTCATCTCGACTTGTTTTTCCCAGCACCATGTTTCTTATGGGACCAATGAAACAATTGAAGCGGATGTTTGAGCCCACACGTTTGATTGCTACTATTGTTATGCTAGTAAGTATCCAGGGAGTCACTTTGAGCTCATACAAACCTGGCAGCAATTTTCATTCGAGCCAGCTGTGGCTCAGGATGTGTCTGGAGGTGTTTTTTTGGTTGGTGTTTTTTTGACTTTTCTTAAAATGTCAAACACTGCATATGTGCTGTAGTGGAACGGTAAGCGTGACACCAGAAAAACACCTCTCCGGTAGGCAAAACTGAGCTGAAGCCAACTTGTTTTGCTAAATGAGAATTAAGGGTCTGTGGCTGGTGTGTGTGAACCATGCATGTGCTTTTTTAGGGTGCTTGAGGTCACAACATTGTATTTACGTATTGCCTAAGAAGTAAATGATGGGAAACGAATTTTTTTTAAGTTGTACTATGGATGTTGCTAGATATTTTATTTTGCATAATTTTGTCATTTTATATTCTGTCTAATTGCCTTGAAGGATCTGTGTAGGTATTTCTACCTAGATAAATTTATCTCTTCATGACAAAGCAACTGGGGAAACTGTGCCTTGGTCACCTTGCATTAAGGATCATCCCAGCTGGCTGATAGCTTCAGGTTTTGAAACTTGTATGACAGAATGAAATTGCAAATTCAACATTCAGTGGAGTCACCCTTGGAATTACTTTATTTTCAGAAGATGGAAGTTATAGCAAACCTTGTGTTGTGTGTGTTTCTCTGTCTAAAAGTTGCTGATATGTTTCAGACTGACTTCTTTAAAGTACACAGGTTTTTTTTGTCTCTGCAACTTTCCTGTTTGCTTCTGGCAAGTCAAAAAGTTGAAAGGTGCTTCAACTTGCATGAAACTCCCATTTTCAGTCTGAATATCCTCAGAGTGCTTGCTTGTATCAGCACTTCCCAATTTCTCTTTACACATCCAGAGATGCTGCAGAGCTTGAGAAATTGACTGTGTATGCTTGCAGATCCAAGCAAGAAGCTACTGTGTGGTGTGTGTGTGTGTGTGTGCTTTGCATGCATTCAGGATGCCTGGAGTAAGGAGAATTCCTGGAATGTTGTTCACTGGGATAAAGCCAGTCATTACATGTATGATGCATATTTAGACCAATATACAAATCGCCACCTTAAAACTAATGGAAGAACTGCATTTGTTGTCAGTACTGATTGATCTCAAGTGTATGATTTCATTGGCAATGCATGTCTTAGTGTCTGAATATGCAGTACTTGATGGGAGTTTTTTTTCCATTCTAGCAGCAAGATGCACATTATAATCTCTAGTTGCACAATGGTGCATGTGTATCTAAAGGGTGTTGGATGCTGATGAAGGGAGAGGAATTATCAGCATCTATCATAGATAAATGAGCTGTCAATCTTAAATTGAAAATGAAAACTAATCGAAGGCTTCTGTTAAAACTGAAGATTAAAGCAGAAAATGATCCTACTACCCCCCAAGATTTTACCTATAGTAAAGAAAGTAAAGTGCAACTCTGAAAGGAGAAAAAGTGCTGGTTTGAATGACTGTGCCTTACTTCAATATATACACAGGAGAGCTAGAAAGCAATAGCCCAAAATTCTTGAAAGTGTAGCATGGTCTTAATTGGTGAGCTTTTCAATGCCATAGTAACCATGTAATCATCAGGAACTGTGCAGAAGCAGAAAGACTAAGAGTGGTATATGAAAAGTATTTTGAAAGTATTATGTGAAATGATGAATTATGGTGTGTACCTGTGACACCAAGAAGTGTGTGGGATGGAGTAGGGACCTGCAAAAGAGCTGTAGGAACCTCTTCCTCTTGCTCCTTTGCAGCCATAAAATCATTTTCTGGAGATACCAGGCTGATATTTCCTGATTGCTTTAATTCACTTCAGAAAGGTAATAGCGAGAGCACTTTAAATGCAAGGAACCTTTAAATACAAGGAACTCTTATGATGCAGAATTTAATTAAACTGGTAAATGATGTAATTAATTTCTGTCTCTGTGAAGGACCCCATTACAGTGTTGCAAATATTCATAGAATCTGGAGTTGTTTCTATTTTTAATTAAAATAATTTGCTTTCTTCTAGTTGTGCCTCATACTAACACTGTGTTCTGCTTTCTGGGTGAGTACTCAAGTCCTGTATGTATATATAACTGGAGTTAATGTAATTGGAGTGTGTTTTAAAAGTAAGATTCTTACACTGTTGTCTCTACTGTGTTTCTTCCCCCCTCCCCTCTCCCCTCCAGTGGCGTAAGGCAGGACTCGCGCTCCTTTTCTGCATCTTACAGTTTTTTGCCATGGCATGGTGAGTGATTTCCTCCCTGCACACTCTACTTTCTGTTGCACCTGACACCAGTAGCTGAATTGTGAGTGGATTTTGACATGGAGTTAGGTGGAAGGTAAATTTTTTGCTTGTCAATCCCTTAGATTCAAGACAATGCGTCAGTGAGGAGCTGGCCTTTTCCCACTTCTTGGTCTCTCACACAACCTCTCAACAGAGGCTCTGGAGACAGAGCTCAGGGCTCCATTTCTCTGAGCTTGAACTGAGCTTAGTTTTTTTCTTTTCCTTTTAAATCAATTTGTTGCCTACTATCTGGTATTTCTCTTTTACACTGTCCTGAATTTGTCTCGTTCAGAGACCAGATTATGCCATTCAAACTGTCAGTGTTCTTCATGTTAACATATGATCTGTTTAAGTCACCTAAAGAGTGCACAAACTGATATAGACACCTAGTCAGCCCTTAACTCTAATCTTGCCTACCTGTAGGTGTTGGAGCATAAAGAATACTGGATGCAGGAGAGCTGTGTTTAAAATGCCTTCATAACATCCCCCTCTATTTTGCCAGTGTTTGATATTCTGGCTGGGCTAAGATGGCTTGCAAAGATACTCCTTCCTGTTACTCACAAACTCAAAGCTTCATTTTGGTTATGTAACTTGCAGTTTAGAATATCAGAGAGGTTGTTCTTATTTGTGATTCTAATAAAATCTGACATGAAAAGTAACTTTCAAAATCTTTCTTCTTAGGTACAGCATTTCCTTCATACCATATGCAAGGTAAGCTTTCCTACTCTTTTACCCTTTGTCATTTTGAGGTTTAATCATACAGAAGATTAGTTTAGAGAAGCATTGTCGTATGTGGCTTTAGAAAGTTTTCCACAGTGCCAGAAATAAAACAAGCATCTTCTCTAGTGGGAGAACACAAATGGAGAAAATGAGAGGGCTTCCCACAGAAATATATAAGCCTGCTGACCAAATACTGAGCATAAGGCTTGCCTTTGGAATGCCTGAATGCTGGTCCAAACTGCTACTAGACAAGTGTATTCTTCTGTGTCCCTTTTGTCCTGTTCTCCCCTATGAGCACCGTCCTGTGTGAGCACAGAGCTGTGTCTCCTGCCCCACCTTCAGTGCCTTGCCTCACTGGCAGCCTTGCAGGTGTCACTTCTGCAGCAGGTGGGCACTGAGCAAACCTGCTGTCTCTAAGGCATTTGTGTAGTCGTGCAAATCATGTTAATGCAATGAATACATGGTAAACTGATCTCTACAGTCCTCAGTGTCATTGGGATAGCAGCATGGAATGACTCTTACCAAATAATGTAACTGAGGTGGCTCTAATTCTCTTGTGTTTTTTTTCTTTCTCCTACCTGTAGGGATGCTGTGAAGAAATGTGTTTCAGTCTGTCTGTCCTAACAGGAATACTGGATGCCTCTCAAAGTTCTAGGCAGTTCTGGGTAGAACTGTGTTTGGATTATTGTGTTGTGTGTAGTTTCCTACTTCTGTCTTGAACATGTGCCTTTCAGCTGCTTGTTAGAAGCTCCTAGTGTTACACCCGGCGTCTGCAGTTGCTTGGGGTTGTAAGTGGTGTCTGTGGGACAGGGGGCTTGTGATCAAATGGAATTCAGTCTGGCAGAAGAACTGGGCAGAGGCCCATAATTTGTTATGGTGATTCTTGCATAAATTCATGCATTTGGTTTTGCAAAAGTTTCAAAGTAATGGGTGAAGTCTATAAGGTGAAGACCTTGGCTGTGATGGGACTGTGCCAGTTCTAGAGTTGAAAACTGATTTCTTACCAACAACTTGGGATTTTTTTAAATAGCCTCAAGTCACTTAATCTTTGCACTGTTTGCCTTGGATAATGGAATATTGGTATTCTTTCTTTTCCTGTCTCTCTTGCAAAATTTTAGGTTTATGAAACTTCTAAAAGATGTAATTTGAAAAGCAAACACAGTTGTGGACTAACCATGAAATGTTTGCATCTTTAATGAAATACTTAATTCTCAGTCCATACTGTTAGTATTTCCTAAAATACATAAAGGGGACATTTTCATCTGAAAAATCTTGATCCTGTTGGAAAAGCACTTGTGAAATAAGGTCCATTGATGTTTTCAGCTACCAGGAACTTGAGTTCTTTTCCTTGTTCATGATTGCAAGGTAGGAAGCTGACATTTTTCACATGAAGTGAGGTGCTTCTCTTCTCCTTCAGCTGTAGCATAACAGCAATGCAAAGGGCTTAGTAGACAAGCAATAAAAGAGTTTATGTATATCCTTCCTCAGAGGACAAACTGTCATAAGGTAGAAATGGGCTATTGTTTTTAAGGAGCCTGGGTCAGGGAGAAGACATTTTCTGAACTTGTAAATAAGTTAAAACTCCAACATTTTTCTTTGTTTCTTTGTAAGTGGAATCAGTTTTCTTTCTGTTAAAACTCTTACACACACCAGTGAACTTCTCTGCCTGGAGGAGAAAGTACAAAATTATGTTGCCTGTAGTGACAAGGAAAGCGTGAAACAATCCTGCTGCCAGCTACAAACAAGTGCTGAACAGTCTGTATCCAAATTCCAAGGCCACTCTGTGTTCTCTTCATATTCTGAGCTATGTATAATCATTTACTCCCACAGCACAGTAGTGGTCAGTTTAATATCTGAGCACAGATTCCTGCTTCTGCTGTGTGAGATAGTGTTTAACTGCTTTCCCCTTTCCTCTTACCAGACTGTCTTGCTGAAGCCCGTGTTTAAGATTATAGTTTTCCAGTGCACTCTGGTGGGAACTGAGGAATCTCTTCCTCAATCTACCAAGAGTTTAGTTGTTTAAGAGTATTGTGTTTGCATGCCATGTGTATCCCTGACTTGTATTACAAAGACTTTAATATAGGAAAAATCTGGATCTCCTTGGCTGTGAAGTATAAGCTCACAGTGAAGGCAAATAGCTTTGTGAAAGTGCCTAAGAAATTAATTAAGCCAAAATCTTAAATTAAAGTGTCCTTCTGATAATTAATAAAGCGCACTACCACCCACCTGTAAGGATCCTCTAAAAAAAAAAAAAATCAAAGATTCCCTTTTGCAGATAGTATGAAAGGGAGATTTTGACAAGTGTTCTGTGGATTCCAGGTGGCCAGAATTATTGTTGCAAAGGCAATTGAATGGAAAGATGGCATTGATGTTGGAATGAAACAGTTATGCAGATTCAAGTACTGTGTCCTGGCACTTTTTTTACCTCCCAGATTTAGAAGTTAGTTTTGAAATAAATGTGTTGACTATTACTGTTCTTGAAAAGATGATTTGGTTAAATTCTCAAGAGAGACTGGGAATTAAAGAAAATTGTTCTTTCTTTTCCCTGGCTGATCTGAGACAAGTGTCTAAACTGATGTATGTCTTTTTTTTATCAGGGACTAAGTTCAAAACCTAATTTACATCAGTCAAAGAACCTATACCAGTCTTCTGTTAGGACTTTCATAATGTTTACAGAATTCCTTTATATAAGGGAAATTGAAATGCAAACCTAATGCCTTTTACATTCCAATTATTCCTTTAATTTTAGCATCTCTGAATGTCCCTGGAAAAAGGTACAAGCACAGTATCTATTATTTCTCCTTCCCTCTCCAGCTAAATTACATTAACTCTGATCATCATTCTGGGTTCAGCAGCCATGATAACAGAATTTGACTTTTGGGATTCTTTTTGATTACTTCAGAGTAGGAGGAGTACATGTCTTTTGCTTATTCCTTGGCTAGCTTGGGCAGAGTTCTGGTAGCCTGACTGTCTGGCAGTTCTTCTGGAAGAACAGTGCAATTGGGCATGGTGAATATTAGTTTTTCAACGTGCACTAGTTCTAGCTACCTAGAACCTTTTAGCTGGCTCTTGTGAACACAGCCAAGTAGGAAGTTTATGAAAATACCAGTAGATGGCACATAAATGGATTTTTGTCCTTTCCCCCTCTCAGTTTAAAACTGTAATTACAGCTCCACAGCCTTTTATTCAGGAAGAGAGAGCAAATCTTCATTTGACTTCACAGCACATGAGGCTAAGCAATTGTGCCTTTACAGAAAGGGAACTCAAGGGAAGATGGCAAGGACACAAGGATCACAAGAGTGCCACTGGAGTTTATGTTGCCCTTTGGTGTTGTATTATGTTCCTGGCAACATCAAACAGTAGGAGAGACTTGCCATATTCTTGCCAATATGTGAAACATACTCAGGGTTTGTTGCTTCATCTACAAGTAGTTCTTACTTAAAATAGCTCTCCCAGAACAAAACTCTTTAGATTCTTATTAAATTTTAAATGGTTGTAGTGAGTCTGTTGACAAGTTTATCAGCAAAAGAAATTTCCACTTAACTGAAGTACTTTATTTTATTTGATTTTTACATAACTGGGGAGTAAACTATATGAATATTCCCTCCTGAGTAGTTTTCAATCTGAATTAGATGATATCATGATACCTTTTTTTTGGTCATTAAACCTACTTTGTGTTACGTTTTGATATCATCAGCTTTGGTTATCTGCTTGGCAGGAAGCATGGTGCGTATTTCTGAAGCCTTCCATCTCACTGTCCTTATGGGTAGGAATGTGTTGTTGTGTGTGCTCTACTGCAAATAGAGAGTTTGTGGTTGGAATCACAAACTCCTTCCTTCCCAAAGTCCTTGCTCTGTTGCCTACAGCACTTAAAGCTGACTTCCCTAAAGAAACTTTTCGATGTTGAGTGCCCATCTCAGTAGGATTTGGTGTTCTAACAGAAAGTGCTTTTTGCTCAGCCTGTTGACCAATTTGCCCACTTTTTTTTCACTTTTTGCTGTACAGATAACATAACCTCAACCAAGCAGCCTTAGCATACAGTTCTAGCATGGAATTTGTATGTCCTGGATCAGCTGACTTTCCAGCTATATTAGAGAGGGAAATAGGGAGGGTGGTAGTCATCTGTTCCCAATGTACTGAGACTCTATACATTGAAATGTGGGATTTTTTTTTTACTACTTCAATGTTTTGCTGTTTCATGTGGTAAAGTCCATTATGAATACTTGTACTATCTGAAATGGTTCAACATTGATGATGTGAACAATTTAATGTCATTTAGTATTTATAGTAATAAGATTATTCAGGAGCTGTTACAAAAACCAAGGAGGAATTTTCTGCCACAAGTTGAAATTCTTTTCAGAAACCATGTTTTTAAAAGGAAAGTGTATTGGGCTCTATGTGTGCTGCAGACTTCCTGAGAAAAGCTCTTCCTTCATTTTGGTACTTAATCATGTTCATGAAAGTGAGATCACTGTGCTATTGTAAACTGAGGAGGAGGATGTTTAAACACGTTTGTCTTAAATACTGATGTTTACATCCATAGCAAATACTGGCCATTTTGGAGGGAAAACACACAAATGGTTTATTGTCTTAAAACCATGTGCCTTGCTGTAATGTGACTAATTTTTTTACCAGCTGTGGAATTGTTTTGTAAAATAAAAAACAAACTCAGAAATTCTCTGCAATGTTTTATACTGTTACTGGTTGTGTTTGCTGATGTGCTTTTTCTGTGCATTTACACAGTTTGATTTCTACTTTGATAAACATCTTTTTTTCTGACTTACAACTTTCTCGTAAATGAAGTGAAACCCTTACAAGTGCTGTTTATTTCCTTCAATAAAGTTATCACTGCATTAAATTAATTGTTCTTATGGTCAATGTTCTTAATGTTCTTAGGGATTTTTAAGCAATGCTGATTCTCCTGATGATGCTGAAATTGCTGTGGGTAGTTTGTTTCCTTTTGTTTGTGTGTTTGGTTTATTTAAAATTATTGTCCTGTCCTCACTTCCTTTGCTGTGCACACAACTTTTACTGCTTGGGGGACTTTTTGTGTCACGAATGTTTTGCAGCAGCTTCATCCAGCAGTTACAGGCACCTAGACATCTGGTTGGCATGAGTGGAGTTGTTAAAGTGAGGATGATATTTTTATTACTTCTTACGTATTGACCTCAAGAGTCAACCTAGGTATGCCAACAAGCTATCCTTAGCTATCCATGCTACAGAGGAAATAACACCTGGTGTTATTCTGTCAGCAAAGACAACAGGAAGTAACATGCTTCTGAAATAAATATGCTTTGAGTGCTGATGTACACTCAATAAAATGTAAATGAAGTAAATTATCAATGATTTATGAAGTTGTGTTAAAAATAATTAGAGGCAATTATTTTATTTTTATTAGCTTTCAAAGAGCTGGTCTGTTTAAGTGTTTGCCTACTATGCATCAAAGACCTGGCATGGTTTAATATTCTTTGGCAGTGTATCAAGGCTGTGTGTGCATTAGGCTGTTCATGGTAAGTTACACTTTCTCCTAACTGACAGGCAGATGGGTTTTTTCCCTGTCTGCAAGGGTGGTGGTGAGACTTGTGTGCTGTGGGAGACTGTGTTAAGTTTTCACTTATCTTTTTTTTTTTTTTGTTTTTTTTATTGTTCTTCTAAGCAAGCTCTGTCTCACAGATGACGGAACTGAAATTTCTGTCCTACAGGAAACTCCAAAGTTGTGTTTGGAATACTAGCAGTAGCTTGTCTTCTGTAGTGTAGAAACCTAAGGGTTTGCATTTTATCTTTTTAAAAAGGTTAGTGTCCCAGGAATGTTGAAAAGCTGGATGCATCTGTCATATGAAGGCAACTGCGATTTCTCAAAGGGCAATAAATCCTTTCCGTGTCTAATAGCTTAGAGGTATTTTGCTTGCCTAACTCAACCTCCTGCATAACAATAAAGCTGTTGAACTTTGCCACTTCATTCATGCTGAGATCTTAATACTTGAATGATTAAAAAAAAAAAAAAGGTGAAATCTTCATTTGAAATCCCTAAACAATGATCAGCTGCCCTAAAGCGCATTCTGTTGATGCATGAATTTGCACCTTAGAAATGCTCTGAAATGGTTTGTCAGTTCTGCTAGAGCATCTAGTTCCTGAGTCTCATTGCCTTGCAAAGTCACCAGCATTCAAATTCAGTGACAAGGCTCATGGAAAGCTGCTGTAATGTCTACCCCTTTCCCTTCTTCCTTGAGGTCTGATTTGCAAGAGAAGGTATTTCATGGATGTGAGCCATCCCTTTCCTGTTGAGCTCAGCTTTGATTGCAATATGTGTGGGGGTACAGGCTTGTAACTGCCCAGCATGAAGTGCTGGAGATTCCTAAAGGGAAAAAAAATCTGGTTTTCTCACTTTTCAGAAGTTAGCTGCTGGTGAATTAGAGATGGAATAGTCTATCTAAGCTGCCAATCTTTGGGATTGCTATTTTAAGTTAGCCTGGTTGAAACCCTTTTAAGTTTCTCTTGCATTCCCTTGTGGCATCTCTAAGAGAAGTTATTCCTGAGAATTCATGCTTCAAAGCCTCTGTGGGAATAAGTGTGGAGTAACATGGGGTAGTGTAAAAATGGTACAATGAAAGTATCACCTGGTCAGCATGATTTTATTGCAGCTGAGGGGCTGTCATGCCTTAAAAGCTGGGAAGTACTGGAAGATGGAGGGGGGCATTGTACAGGGCACATAATGACAGGACAAGGGTGAGCAGCTTCATACTGGAAGAGGGGAGGTATAGATTAAGGATTAGGAAGAAATCCTTTACTATGAGAGTAGTGAGGCACAGGAACAGATTGCCCAGAGATGCTCGTGATGCCCTATCCGTGGAAGTGTTCAAGGCCAGGCTGGATGGAGATCTGAGCAACTTGGAAGGTGTCCCTGCCCATTGCAGGGGGCTAGAATGAGAAGATCTTCGAAGTCCCTTCCAACCCAAACTATTCTATGATGCAATATGTGGTGTGAAAAGAAAGTATTTTAAGATGGGCATGTGCTCCTGTGGTTTCTGTTTGTGTGTAACAGGATGTGTCAGGCTTACCACTTTTGACAGAATCAACTGCTTCAATGAAGTTATTGTTGTAGCTTGTTAACCCTCATCATTAGCTTTAACCAACACATCCAGGTCAAAAGTGCATGTTTGGTTTGCCCAATAAACATTGAATGTGTTACTTTTGTTGTGAAATGTTGTAGGTAGAACTTAAAGCTTTGCTTAGAATCTCTTACCTTTAAAATTATTTTCTTTATCTTAAAGATGCGAACAGTAATAGTTTCTTCCTCTAGGTTGTAATTCATGTCTGAAGACATTGCTGAAGATCTTCAAGTAAAAAAAAACAAATGAGGGAAAATTATAATTATTGTTTAAAATAAACTAAGTTACATTCATCACCAGCCTGACTACATATACTTGGTTTGCTGTCAATGTTTTGGTGAGGGGGGGCCACAGGGGTAGCTTCCCTGGGAAGTTGCCAGAAGCTTCCCATACACTGATAGTGCCCAGGCCAGCTGGTTCCAAGATGAACCCATTGCTGGCCCAGGCTGAACCCACCAGCAAGTGTGGTAGTGCCTCTGGGGTAATGTATTTGAGGAGAAACAACCCTTGCACTACCGCAGCCAAAGAGATGGGAGAGAATTTGTGAGAGAAAAAGCCCTGCAGACACAAAGGTCAGTGGAGAAGGAGGGGCAGGAGGTGTTCCAGGTACCAGAGCAGAGATTCCTCTGCAGCCCATGAGGTGAGGCAGCTGTGCCTCAGCTGCCCATGGAGATACATGGGGATAGAGAGACCCACCTGCCAGAGCAGCTGGATGCCCATAGGAGGCTGTGATTTGTGGGAGACACAAGTTGGAGCAGACTCCTGGACAGAGGAGCCCACACCGGAGCAGGTTTGCTGGCAGGACTTGTGACCCTGCAGAGGACCCGCACTGCAGCAGCCTGTTCCTGAAGGATTGCACCCCATAGAAGTGACCCATACTAGAGCACTATGTGAAAAACTGAAGGCTGTGGGAAGAACTGATGGAGAAGTTAATGGAGGACTGTTTTCTGTAGGAGGACTCCTATGCTGGAGCAGGGGAAGAGTGTGAGGAGCCCTTCCCCTGAGAAGGTCACTGGTAGGGAAGGAGAAGAGAAAACCAGGAGAAAAGTTAGGCCTAGGAATAAATGAAGGGTGGAGGGAAGGTGTTTTAACATTTGGTTCTATTTCTTATTAGCTTATACTCAGTTTTGATTGGTAATAAATTAATTACCCCAAGTCAAGCTTGCTTTGTCCATGTTGGCAGCTGGTGAGTGATCTCTCCCTGCCTTTATTTCAAACCATGATCCTTTTGTAACATTTTCTCTGTCCCTGCTGAGGAGGGCAGACGATGGAAGAGACAGAGCGGTACCCATCATTTGGCGGATACCTGGCACCCATCCAGGGTCAACCCATCACACTACATTAAGGTTTTTTATTTGGGTTTGGTTTTTTTTCTTCCTTCTCCTTTTAAAAAGCAGAAAGATTGTTGTAGAAAACCTTCCCTGCTCTCTGGGCTCAGAATTAATCTCAGTATAATCTCAGTTATAACACCAGACAGGGAGGTACCACTCAAACAAGCTGTGTGCTTTTCTGCTAAAAACATACCCAGGGGAAGTTATTGAAACTGTGCCCTCACCCTGACATTAATGAAAAGGCTAATCTTCTTTAAGTCTCCTCTGGCCTAGCAATCTCTTAAGGGGCTAGACACATGATTAAAAAACAGAAGGAAAGCAGCTGTCTTTTTATCCTTTGTCAATTTTTCTGTGGTAGTTGATAGGTGTTGATTTCCTTGGAGTGTCATGGTGATAAAGGTTACATTTCCCTGTGTTGTTGGGACTCAGTGTTCAGAGGGGGTTTAGTTGAATGCTGCAGTGAGAGCTTTGGAGATGGAAAGAATGAGTTTTATTTTCTGCAATTTCATCTAATGATGAAGGGCTGCCTTTTCTTTGGAAACAGGCAGCTAAAGGCCAAAAAACAGCTATCCAATGTCAAGGCAAGACAGGCCTCTTTAATTGCCTTTTTTTTTGTTTGCTTTTCCCCCTTCCTTTCTGTGTACCTCTCCAGCTGGTGGCCAGGGGCATATAAGAACAAGCTTAATTAGAAAGTCAAAAATAACCCCTTGCTTTTTCCTGCTGAAACTTAGTGAGTGAAGTCTAATAAGAATTGCAGGATTGTTCTGATTGCTCTTTCACTGCTCTCCCCGGTCCTCATTGCTTCATTTAAAATGTGAGGTACTAAATTCTTATTAGTGAATTGGAGATGATCATGAGTGTTGAGTTTGCATTCTGAGCTAGTTCTGCCTGTCTATGACCCACAAGGAGTCTGATACCTGCTTGGAAGGGCCCAGCTCTCCCAGCTGGGTTTCAGGGAAAGCTTTCAAATTTACAGGTTTTGTAGGGGCATTTTCTGTTCCTTCTTCCACCCCTACTGATTTGCTTGTCCAATTAAATGGGTGGTAAGTGCAAGAGGGGCAATAAACAGTCCCCCCTTGCAGTGACACTGGCTGTCAGACACCAGAAACATCTACTGTGCTCCTCTGTAAGTCAAAGCTACCTTTTCTTCAAATGTTAGGTTCAGGGAATTTTAGCATCCAGCCCAAGAAATTACCTACATCTGAGAATGGATTGTTCTCTCTGTCCTGGCAATACCTACAGCTAGTGACATTAATCTGTTTGGGCCTCTGTTCCAGCACTTGTAGACATGGAAAAATCAATCTTGAAAGAAAGTAGGATAAAGAAGGGTTGTTTGGAAAGCATTCCAAGTTTTTATTTAGGTGAATGGAGGGACAAAACATTAGAGGATGTCTCTCACGTCTCCTAAAACAGGCTAAAGATTCAAAGTAAATTTCCACAGGTAATATTTTTGTTAAGGGAAAAGCCAACAATAAACAAATAACTGTGATTCTGAATCTCTCTGGTTTCTGTTCTGCAGCCCTCTCCCAGGGCAGCTGTGTGACACAGAGACAGTGCACAATGCAAAGAAGTCTCATTCATGGAATCTGGAAGTATGTTTTTAAGTAAAATCTCAGGCCCAAGTACATTCAGCTGGTCATGTGCTTGCATATGTGTAAACGTTTTTTTTTTTTTTTTTTTTGATTAATTCTTTTAGGTTGGAAAGATGGAAAGATATGTCAGTGGTGAACTCTGCCTTCTGCTACATACAACATAAATTGCTCTTAGGCTGAACTCTTAGAGTTGAAACAACCTTCCCCATGCTGAGAATAGTAATTGGGCTGTTCCCACTAACCAACCACAGGTAACTACTCTCATTTTGGAAAAAGTTATGGTTTCAGATGTCCTGAGCTATGGTAACATAATTACTAAAATTCAAACTGTGTGAAAGTCAGGTATCTTAAGATGTTAGATTTGTGATTTATTTTTTCCTCTGGACACTAGACTTTCAAGAATCAGACACCTTGTATGAGTGGTAACCATAAGCACACAAGTGTTACCCACTTCTGGGATCTGAAAGTGCATTTTATTACTGTGCAGAATACAAGTTTTAGTATGATACTCCAAAGTTAAAACATTCATGCTTCTCCCTTAGGGATGCTATCTGTAAAAAAATCCAGTCTTATTGATGAAAAATTCTTATCCCAACCCATTACTGGAATAGGTCCATTATCCATTCCTTCCATACAGCCCTTCTTCTCCACAGCTCAGTCCCAGGAGTGCTTTGGGCAAGCAGTGCTCTCCAAGCAGGACCTGCCTTTCTTTTGCTTTATGGCAGCCTCCATTTCCAATCCATTTTTGCTGAGCATATTCTTTACCTACTACTACCCACTACTTTATGGTAGTGATGTACCAGTGTCTGCTGGTGAGAGACTTTCACTTCCTCATGTGGAAACTCTTGCACCAACGTGAACTGTTGTTGCTTTATCATATGCTTTTGGTTTCCTTTAAGTTCTAAGCATCTTGAGGAAGGTAGATGGGATCTGATTTTTTGAGGCTCTATCCAGTATCACTCCACTCACAGCCCTGCAGGAGAGATGGGCAGTGAGTACTTCTGAAAGCCAGGTTGCTTCTCTTTTTATTTGTCTATAGAAAGAACTGTGTGTAACTACTGGATTATTATGGCTTTTATGAGCTGTTGTCTCTTTACCTGCTTTAACTTTGAATATCCTAATCTTTGAGCAACTGTATCTAAACAGGCTGCATGGAAATAGGGCTTCAGCTGAAAAAAAAATCCCAAAGTAATATATACCTGTTTTAGAAGTTCCTGAAAACCTGAAGATGTTTAATTAAAATTCACGGTACTTTCAGCAGCTCAAATTTCTCTGTTTATTTGCATCTATAGTATAATAAAATTTTAAATTCTCTCATATATTTTCCCAGGCATTTTCTATGCCATTTGATCACATGTGGGGAAAAATTACAGCAGTAGCTTCTCTCTCCTCTTTGAGTATTTGGAAAGGGGAACCCAAACATAAAAATATTCCATTTACACCACCATACCTGAGATGCAATTATTTTTCCAAATGCAAAGTGATACCCTTCCAGGTACCCAAATATCCTATAGATTAGAAGTACATTCTTTAGTTGTTCAGCAGTGAAAGTGGGCTGTTTATTAACTAGAACTTGCTAACTGACACCTACTAATGTAACTCACCTGGGTTCACTTATAGAATAATCTAGGTATTTTGGTTATCAGTTGACAATTAAAAAAAGAAGAGGGGAGGAGGTGTCAGAATGTGAAGTTTGAAAGCAACATAGAATCACAGAATTATTTGGGTTGCAAGGGTGCCAAATAAGGTGCCATCAAGCTCTGGCCATTGTTGTTTAGGTGGATGGTACCTCTCAGTTTTTTTAAAGGCAAATCGGTTGAGCTTTGTCAAATGATGGATATAACTTAAATTTTCTTTTATGAAGTGTGCCATGCTCTTTTTTGTCTGTAAAAATCCCCAAAAAGGTCCACCAAATCATTTTGTCTTTCTAAAAGAGACAGAAGCACAGAAATCCAGCAGGGACTGTTGAATGAAAGACTGCAAAATTCTCAATAAGCAGACAGAAAATGTATTTGTCTAAAAATGACCTCTAGGACTATGTTTTCATAATCAAGTCCCTGACTGTGCCTTGTCCAACAGACTGGAAATTTTAAAGACATAAGAGATAGATGTATCAGGAAAAGTTAGGTACTCCAGCATTTGTTCTATTCCAAAGCCCAGTGTTTACAGGGCTTTTTACACTGTTTACACTGTTTACACTGTTATTTGTGGGGCTTCCACTTAACCCTCCAGCAGGGGACTGAACCCACATGTCTTCTCTCCTTGAATGCTGAAATTGTTGGAGTTCTCTGTAAAATGGTGTCTTTTTTGTGGAGGGCATATGTTGTTGGATCAGAGAAGGTCTGAGGTTCAGGTGAGAGGGAATGACATTTTGGGATGCTAAAGGAGCTTTTGCTTAGATGGACCTTGAGCTTGTCAGCAGTGCCAGGTCTCAGACAGTTAAGCTCATCCCAGCCCCAGAAGTGTGTGGTCTGTCACTGGAAATGCAGCCAGAGGGGCATTCAGCCACCTGTTTTGTGAACGACAGTGGGACCAAGGGATGGACACAATATCCATCAACAATGGAGCTTAGAGATGCTGCCTTCTCCTTGTGCACTGAAACCTCCGTGCAGAAGGGTATTTAAATATTATATTTTGATTTAGGAATGTAGAGGAATGAGGTTAATGCATTTATGCAACATTCATGGTGAAAATATTTTAAGACAACCTTCTCTGTGTAACTATCTTGACTCTTCCCAGCTCCTTCAGTTAGAGTCCACACCAGCGTGAATGCAATTTCCATGCATTGTTTCAGTCTGGGAATGAAACCATTTTCATTAATGGAAACCTGGTTCTCAAGCAGAACAATTAGACACACTTCAGGTTGAAAAAAGATAAAAGCATGCTAATTTGGATGGAGGACTCTTCTTTCAAGGCAGCCAATTGAGTCATCAGCCAGCCACCCACCTGACTGTCTAACAGGTAATTAGGAGACAGTCCTCTTTTTGTGTGGAGCGTGTGCGTAAACCTCCACACACTGGTGTCACTGCCCATTGGGACTTCCAGGGGAAAGAGCTAGGCAGTGGCAAAAGAGTGTGGAGAGCACGTTTGTCAGACGGTGCCCAATGAATTGACTTCTTTTTTAATTTGGCTTATTATTTTTGTCTTTTCAGCAGCTACCTGAAGTTTCTGGCAGTAAAGCTGTCATGGCAGAGCTGGGCTGCAGAAAACCCAGCGACTGCACCATCTCCAGGCTCCTCAGCGTAGTGGAGAGTGAACTCCGGGCTGGGAGAGACAAAGGCGACCCCACAGAGAAACAGCTCCAGGTTGTCTTGGAGGATGCAACGCTCTGGCAGAGATTCAGGGAAGTCACTAATGAGATGATCGTGACCAAGAATGGCAGGTGAGTGATCTGCTCAGCACTGTGGGCTCAGTGGAGGTGACAGCCAGGGGGGTTAAGCTCTACAGTAATAAACTGTGTCTGCAGACTCGAGAGAACTGCAGTGAGCACACCAGAGTTTATAGGGGACTGCAGCCTTGCAGTCTGCTAAAACCAGTGTATGAAAAAGACGGGGTGACCTTGCTTCTTTTTGGTCACTGCCAAACCATTCCTCCTAAGAAGCATGCTGGAAAAATAGATAGACTAACTTGTGATTGCATAAAAAGGAAACTTTTGCAAGAGAATACCTCTCAAAACCTTTGTAATGGCTTCTTATTGCTAATAATCATCAGTCTATATTAGCAAGTCCTCATCTGTAGGCTTCAAATTACTGCACAGAAGCAGATTGGTAGTGTTAGACCCAGCTGCAGTTCCCATCCCTCTGGGTATTATTAACAGCTTGTACGAGCAGCCAGTACCACAGTGGGTGCAATGAAACTGCCCTATGTGCTCTGTCTGTATGTGCAGTCTGAATTGCATGGTCCCAGAGTTGTTGCTGGTGCCCTTAGAAACAAGTGTGGAATATTGCTTAGTATACACTGTTTAAGAAGGGGAAAACATTGTGGTATAAATGGATCACATGTCTTACTATTTGGGGAACACAGAAAGGTACAGGAAAAGAGTGGAAAATCTGGTGAGAAGGATGCTAATTCTGAATCAGGCACTAGCTTGAAGAAGGCTCTCCACAGAGGTTCTGCTCTGAACTGAACTGAACAGAGTCCAACCCATAACAGACAAGCAGCTACCAGAATAAGATTTGCACAGTGGCGCTAAGGTTTTTATTTAATTTATCTTCACCAGCCTTTTGCTGCTGCCCACCCCAGCTGTTTCCTCAACATGCACATGTTTTACAAGAGCTCTCAGGAGATCCACATAGAAGAGAGAAATTAAGAGTCACAGAGAAAGATTTATTCATGTGGTGTGACTTTCAGTAATTTTGCAGACTTTGATTTTGCAGAATTTGTAGAGGAAATTACTGTTGACTGTAACTTAATTAGGGACATAGGTGAAAGAAGTAAAAAATGAAAAATCTAGTCTATTGGCTCAGCAAGGTGATTCTGCAGAGAGAAGTTACCTTCCCAAAGTACCAGCTCTTGGTGTAAGAGCATTGTTGCCATTCTGATTCCTCCTAACAACCTATGCTGATATAAATCTGCTGCTGAGGTTCTTGTTATATTGTGAAACTGCTTTTGCTTCATTTAAATTGCTTTGAAAACTGCTGTTAGGCTACAGATAACTTCCAAGTGGACTTTCACTTGGTGTACAGTAGATTAAACTGTCTCTTTAGCAGTGTAAGGGACTAAAATGGGTTTGTTGCCAACTAATTTAATTGGTACAAAGAATCACACCTTACCAACAGGGTTTTTTCAGTTTCTTTCCTCACAGCTAATGAAAATCATGACTTCATGGTGATACTAGTTCCTTCTGAAATGTCAGGGTGAGTGTGTAGATAAAATATTTTTATAATGTTGGTAAGGGAATATTTTGTTATCTGAATATGCCTGGGTACTTTTTATTTCATTGTCTAAGCTGCCTGATTTTTTAATTTTAACTTATACACTCCTTATCAGCCTGATTCTACTTTTCCTATAGTCAGTGTCATCTCTAGAAATGTCAGTGAGAGCAGGAATAGAATTCCTTATGATTAAGCTACAGCAAGATTAAAAATTACAAAAGTATGTCACACTGCCATTTGCATTTATCCTTTTAACATAGTTACTGTAGCAGAGACCATGAAAAAGTATCTCTGCATTTCTGAAAGTATTTTTCATCCAAAAACACAGCATCATACTAAAACAAAGAAAATACAGACTGGCCTCAAGCAAAGAACTCTGAACCATGCTATTCAAAAGAAGACAAACTTGAGACAATTTCCTGTGAGTGCTGAGTTTTTCTCAGGTTCAGAATTCTTCAGTGATTGTCTCCAGAGAGAGTCTCAGTTGAAAAAAATATTGATCTTATTCTGCTGCTGCTAAATGAGTACAACTAAACCATTCTTGCTGAAGGGTAGATGAATACTTTTGAAAACTGTGTTCAACAATGAGAGAGAAGAGCCAACCTGAACCTGTGAAAACTAAAACAGTTGGTGTGGACAGACACTTTGTCAGCAAAGCTCAGAAATTAGAGAGAAACCCAATACAGGAGTGTCCCAGAGAAAGAAAGTCTAATTGATTAGTGTTTCTCAAGTGTCAAATTCTAGCATGCACAATTCTATCTGCTCTGAGTCATCTCTAATTGGTACCGAGGGTCCCAAAATGTCACAGTTAGATGAACCAACTTCAGTGTTAATATACAGATATGTCTCCATGGCTGTATCATACTTCATTGTAATAATCACCTGCCCTAGCAATATGCCTAGGGGAAATATTCTGAACAGGATAGACATCATTAACATTGAAACATGTGCTGTATCACAAAATACATCCCAGTGGGTCTAGCTGATACAGTGGGAAACCATCTCCTATTTTACTCAGACCTATTGAATTCAATTGACACTTCAATATCAAATGCAGTGTTATCTGACTGAGCAGGTTTCCTCTCCCAGTGTTTATGCCATAATAGCTAAGCAGTATCCTGAGACTTTGCAATCCTTGTTATTGCCTGGAGACAGGGAGGTGTCACTGTTCCCCTCTGTGTATGGGGAGAATCTGTATGGGATCAGTGCAGGCAGCCATGAGTGGGGGAAAAGGAGCACTTCCCAGGCTTGAATGCCAAAGCAACTTCACTGGTTACTGCACATTCAAATTTGATATCAAACATCTTCCCACTCAAGGTCTGTACTGTGGAGTAATTGCAGCAGATTTGCTCCAAATAAAATGAAGAGGATGAAGTGCTTGGCTATTGCAGCGATGGAGGTCACGTGTGCACCTACCTGATCATTGAAACAAACATTCTGACTGAAACAAATTTGGAGAAATCACAATTTGCCATGCTAAAAGACAGATTTTAACAGTAAAGCCACTTAATCAGCAGAACATGTTAGGTGGTAAGTTTTCCATCATTAGAGTCTGTACAGTCAAAACATGCTGGTCCAAGTGAGGCAGGGAATTACCGGGAGCGAAGCCGGTTAACACAGGGAAGTGCTCTAATCTTAGTGCTACAGGAGGTTAAAATGGATGGTGACAGTATTCTCTTCTGGATTGGTCTATAGGTCCTTTGAGGATAAACTTGAGCCTCTCAAATAAAAAGGCAGAGCAGCCTGCCTGCATTGTGGGCAGAGGAATTAACAATCTGCGTGTAACACAAACAGCTCTGCACAATCTAGTGAAATTAAATTTTCATGTGGATTAATTTTCTCCTCTAATTAAATTTCAGCTATGTATCTAAATGTGTTCCTTTAAACCTTGACTGGAGGAGATCTAAGCATTGGAAGGAGCAATGCTTCCATACTTTTTATCACATCCCAGTTTGGTGCATCCTGATCAGAAAGACACGTATAGTGTGTAAACCCTTGATTAAGCTTCTATTTAACTAGAAAGGTTGTGGCTCACAGTACTTTGGAGACCAGTGGGGAGTGCTGCTCCTCAGGGATCAGTACTGGGACTAGAGCTTTTCATTACCTTTGTTGGTGACAGGGGCACACCATCAGCAAGTTTGCCGGCACCCCCCAGGTGTGTGCTCGAGTTGACATGTGGAGGGAAGGGATGTCATCCAGAGGGATCTGGATAGGTTTGAGAGCAGGGCCTGCACAGACTTCATAAAGTGAACTTTGTGGTTCTGTGTTAAAATGTGGGTTGGATGGAGAATAGGTTCAGAGCAATCCTGAGGACAAGGACTCAGGAGTGTTGGTGGGCAAGAAACACAACATGACCCAGCAATGCGCACTGACAGTCCAGAAAGCCAAACACATCCTGGGCTGCATCTAAAGCAGCACAGCCAGCAGGGTGAGGGAGGGGCGTGTAACCCTCTGCTCCACTCTTTGTGACCCTACCTGGAGTGCTGCATCCAGCTCTGGAGCCTCCAGTACAGGAAGGACATGGACCTGTTGGAGCAAGTCTGGAGGAGAGAACCCCTCCTATGAGGAAAAGCTTATGTAGCTGAGGTTGCTCAGCCTGGAGTGGAGAGAGACATAGCATCCTTCCAGTACCTAAAGGGGACTGCAAGAGAGCTGGAGAGGGACTTTTTATAAGGACATGGAGTGATACAAGGAGTGGTGATGAACTGGAAAAGGCTGCCCCAAGAAGCTGTGGATGCCTCATCCCTGGAGGTGGTTCAAGGCCAGACTGAATGAGGCTTGGAGCAACCTGGTCCAGTGGAATGTGCTGGGGACACCAATCCAGGGACTGCAACAAGATGATCTTTAAGGTCCCTTCCAACCCAAACCATTCTATGATATCTTCTTCAATACTGCACTGACCCTGTATCAGCAAGTATTAATATTAGATGAAAAATCTCAAATTTCTCAAATTCTGTCTTTTCCTGTCAGCAGAAGGTGCTGAATACATGCAGCAAAAACTATATCAAGGTATCCAGACAGGTGAGTGGGATGTCATGATTGTTAGCCATTTGCATTTGGGTGTCATTAGAGAGTATGATTGCAGGGGAAGAGGCTTCCAGTGTCCTTTGAGACAGCCTGGAGTTTCAGGTCCCTTCTTATGTATTTTGGATGTCTTGTATGGCTGCCTAAGTCTCAAGAATGACCTTACCTTAACCCCATGGCTACGGACCACAGGGTATGTCTCTGGTTGCTCAGTGTACTCTCTCTGTACCCATAGAGCAAAGGGCTTCAGAGATTCGTTTGCTTTCGTTGGAATTTATGGTCCATAAAAATGTGGCATGGAGAAATGGCAGTTGCCAGAAGAGGTCAGCATGGAGATGTCTGGGGCAGGGAGGCTGGTTACTCATGGAAGAGGAATGTAGGAGGTGATATGTAACACCAATTTCATGTATTCCTTGACAAGCTAAGAAGCTTAATGACTAGGAATACCTTTTATGGGAGACACCTCTGTTCTGATGTCCACATGTTATTCCCAGCTGCTGAAAGTCTTGGAGCCCTACTAGCTCTATTGCTGCAGATTTTCAGGCCCTGAGGTGCCAATTCAGAGCTGTGTGGCATAGATCACAAGCACTGGGACAGATAAAAACCCACTGAAAATCAAGTTGTGAGCTCCTGCAAATCTCCTTTACAAAAGAAAAAACAATATAATAACAGGAGATTGAGGAAAGGTGGCATTGGACCTTTGGGCACAAAAGGACCATTTTCCCAAAACGAAGCAAAGGCAGGATTTCAGTTTTAAATACACAAGATAATGGAAGGCTGGGTAGAAGTTTAGAGCTCTCACGTAAGATGGAACTAAAAGCAAAAGGACATGTTCAAGCTGCTGAGGTCAGGGAATATGGAAGTATGGGAACAAATTACTGGATAAACTGCCAAATGCAAGGTCTGATGGCAAGGGTGGACTGAAGGAAGGGAGGATGTTTTTTATACTGAGCTAGTCAGTGAGCATCTGGAAACAAACATACTGAGGAGAGTCTTTCAAGAGCACTTTCCAGTGGTGTCCTGGTTTTTTTTTCCCTGGCCAGGCGGATGTTCCCTGTTTTGAAGATCAGTGTGTCAGGCTTGGATCCAAATGCCATGTACTCCTTCCTGCTGGACTTTGTTCCGACTGATGGCCACCGCTGGAAGTACATCAATGGAGAATGGGTGCCAGCTGGGAAACCAGAGACACCGAACCACAGCTGTGTCTACATCCACCCAGACTCTCCCAACTTTGGGGCCCACTGGATGAAAGCTGCCATTTCCTTCAGCAAAGTCAAACTTACCAACAAGCTCAATGGGAATGGGCAGGTATGGCCTGATGTTTCCACATCACCTTTTGGCTTCAATTGCAAGCACCTACAAATCAAGAAATATCAAGGGTACATTTATATAATTATGGAAGCCCTTACAGGCCTCTTCACCCACAGATGCCAATTATTCTCTGGAGGCCAAATGTAAACAGGGATAAACAGGCCTTAATTGGCACTTTCAGATTTTAATGGACTTCTTGATGTTAAGAGAGACAGAGTGCTGTGGTTTACTTAATCGTCAGGGGTCTTTTCAGATTTGGTCTTGTGTGCTGGGGATTTTTACATAGGACTTCAGAGAAAGGGGGGAAAAAGGGAAAAGTGGCCCCGGGTATTAGGTTTTTGTTGTGCTCCCCAATGTTGTTTGGTGTAAGTGGAATGTTGGCAGGAGTCAGATGGCAGAATAAAAGGCTGCTCCTAAATGAAATAATTACTATGTCTGTTTCTGCATCATGATAATTATCAATATTCTATTGAATCAGCTTTGGCCTTTGGAAAGAAACCACATGTACCAGAAATAAGTGACTTTCTCTTTGAATTGCTTAAAAATGCAAACAGGAAAATTAATTTTGTTTCATATTTTATTTTTGATGATGCATCTAAAGACAAAATGTTGCACAAGACCTTTTGTTCACTTGTTTGTTTGGTACAAAACTCTTACAGTGGATAATACTTGTCAGCCCAGAATCAATTTCTTTCATGTAAATGTTATGTGCTTTCAATCTGTTATTTCCATTAGGTTTGTGAGGTACCTCCGTAAGCTTAGTGCTCTGATGAGGAAATTATCTCAGGTTTTACAGATTGGAGAACAGGAAGATGATCTGACTTTTCCTTAGTCATATGGAACCAGCACACAAGAATTATTGTAGAGCATAGAACAGGATCTGAATTTGCAAATGCTTGTCGTGTGTCTAGGATCTCAGAAAAGTCAAAAGTCAAAAGTCAAAAGCATAGAAAAATATGCACTTGGGAGAAAAAAGCTACAGCCAACTTGGAGGGTCAAAGAGTCCCTGGGGAAAAAATCAGGGGAGCACTGTATATATATGAAGGTCAGGAAAATAGTAGAAAGTAGGAGAGAAAAAGCTGTATGAGAAACAGGATCCAAACAAAAGTTGCTAAATAACAAATGACTGAAACTTCCTTTGCTTTCTTTTGAAATCATCACCACAGAGTTCAAGTAAACCATGTCCCCACTCTATACTTCAGCTGCCCCTTTTGTGACAGTATTAGAAACTGATGACTATCAGTTTTCTGCTAATAGCTGTGTTCTTTCTTATTTGTATATATAGGTATGTATATATGAATGTATGTATGTATGCATCACTTTGCAAAGTACAAATTTAAAAAAAAGAATACTTTTCTTACATTAGAGCAAATAAAAGAACCTAATAGACTTCCTGGAATCAATGCTATTCAGAGCTTTTAGTGCCAGGTTGGATCTGCCAAGGCCTGTTTAGATACACTTTATCTTGCCCAGAGAGGAGACTGCATGACTGCCTTAGCTTCATCCTGGCACCTTTTCTGTGAGGGTGATTCTGAATCTTTCATACAGCAGAAGCAGGACAAAGAGTGTCCCTGAGATGCTTCAGCAGCCTCTAGTGCAGTTGGAGCCCAGTGGTTTGAGGGTCATAGCTGCTAACACAAATACTCGGTGCTGCTGCTGCATCCAAAGCCTTAAATCCAGTCCAGTGAAGTCTCATTCTGTTCAGCCCTGTGGTTATTGCCGGGGAAGAAGGCACCTGCCCTCCTGCTTCAGGAGTCGCTGGCTTGGGAGGTTCAGCAGTGACAACTGCTCTGTCACAGAGCCAGGGGGTGGCTGTGAGGTACCATAGTGGCACTGGGGGCTGTCTCTCTGTTTTGTTTCCTGCAGATAATGTTGAACTCCCTGCACAAATACGAGCCCCAGGTGCACATAGTTCGCGTAGGAGGCCCCCACCGGATGGTGATGAACTGCTCCTTCCCTGAGACGCAGTTCATTGCGGTGACTGCCTACCAGAACGAAGAGGTAGGCGGGTGCCACGCTGTGCTCTGGTCACCACTGATGAGATCTGCTACAAGCTGATTAACTGCAAGACCAGTGTGCCATTTTCTTGTTTCCCCACCAATCCCATGCAGTGTAATACTCCATCAAGTCTAATACTCTGTCTTTTCTCTGCAGTAGAACATTGACTAATCTAGTGTCTGGCTCCAGTACTAAGCCAGGTTTAGCTTAATATACTGCCATAGCTATTCCAGACTGGTCCATCTGTCCTGGCATCCCAATCCTTTACTGGAAAAAAAAGACAAACAGCCCTTCAGTCAAGCCCAATATCTTTCTCCAGCAATAACTGATAGTCATAATGATAACCCTATCCGTCCATGTTTTATATCATACATATAACTGCAGAATAACACAATACTTAATGGGAAAATTTCTGCCCTTGAGGGATGCTTTGGACTGTAAGAATTGCTAACTCCTGTGTCACATCCCTTAGTTAATGTTGCTGCAGATTTTATTTGTACTTGATACGAATTCAGTGTTTAAACCCTCTAGAAAGGGTCCACCATTCCACCCCATTTACCAGACAAGCTCATGCCAGGCTGCCCCAGCTGGTTTTTTGCCTGTGGCACTGATCAATACACAGCAAATCTGTCTCCTACCCAGTCCTGGGAAACATCAAGTGTGGGGATATATTTTAGGCTAACACAGAGAGTTCCACTCAGATTACTCTGGAGGATGTTTTGTCAAGTTTCTATTTCAAATTGCTTTCACTAACATGTCTTGTTTTCTGTAAACTCAAGATAACAGCTCTCAAAATCAAGTATAATCCCTTTGCCAAAGCCTTCCTGGATGCAAAGGAAAAGTGAGTTCATCTTTTGTTTTTTTGATCCAATAGCTTTTTGCTGCTGATATGGTTAAAACTGTGACATCACCATATGAAAGATAAATTACATGACTGTATCTTGTTTCTGCTGTCTTAAATCCAGAGTCACTCCAATGGTATTATTGCGGAGACTATATGATTATTACAATAGGTGCTGAAGTGGGTGAACATGTTTTCAAGGATCCTGGCATTTATCTCTGTCTATACAGAAAGCCTGAAATTAGATGGTGTGAGCTTTCCCAGTAGTGTTGTACCTGACATATGTCCACTACAGTGTACTTGCACTCCAGTGAATCCTGTAATTTGATAGGTCAGAGAGAAAAAAATGTTAACTCCAAGTGTCAAAAAGCATAGTTGAAGTGAAATTACATTGTAACTGTAATGTAATTGCACTGCTGTTATTAAGTCTGTGTGGTAATTTATGATGGATTTAGTAAAGGTAAGATGTCACAAATGCTTCCATCAGAAATTAATTGTAGTTTATCTTGCAGAATTTTCTATGCATCACCTATGTTAATGCACAGTGGCATCCAAATGGTACATTCCATCCCATAATTTCTAATTAATTTTGTTTGGACCTGCTTTATCTTCTGACATGTGAAGTGCCCCATGTGCCCACAGGAGAATCTGTATTTCCTTTTATTCCTCTCACCACTTAAGAAGCTGCTGTGTCTCAGCATCAGGGTTTCCAGCTGGGGAAGGGGGGATGCTGCCTTCTGCTTGCCTACAAGCAGGAATGGTGCCCACAGGCAGATTTAGAATTCCATGTTCAGCTCCCAGATATGGCAAAAAATTAGGAACATTTTTGTTTATGTCATCAAACAAAAGTCCAGCTTCCTTTTTGGCAGAATGTGGGAAGGTTCTACTGCTGCCTAGCAAGGTTAAAGAAGAGGGATTTCCCTCCTTTTTTACTCACTTCTTCAATTTTTAATGAATAGTTCTGGTTATAACTTCTGTAATTTTTCAATGAGAACACTGACCACTAAGTATTTTGCCTTTCAGAAACCATTCTAAAGATGCTCCAGAGACAGTCTCTGAAGGTCAACATATGACATATTCTCACTGTAAGGTTTTTATTAATGTCAACTGCAGGTTCTGTGAGATATGATGGGTGCTGGGAACCTGGGCTTTGCTTAACTGATTCCTGCTGGTCACTTTCTGAGTCCTGAATTGTGTTCATAGAGAGGACCCTTTAAAAAAAATAAGAAGATTGAAGAGACCTCACAGTAAGAAATAATGGAAGAGGTCCTGTAGAGGGATTGTTTTCCATACAATCCAGTTTTTCAATATTAAAAGGAATCTGGAACCAAGAAGATATATGACATTTTAAGGGTTTTCTTACCCCTTTGTTTTTGCATTTGTGAATGTTTTTGTTGCCTATAAAATTATCTTTCATAGGTAACAGGTAAAAAATGAGGGGGGAGCAAAAGTTGCATTTGTTTTACTGATAGCTTTTCTTTCATTTGTTCTTTAATGTTTGTGACATTTTCTGGTTGCTTTCGGGTCTTGTTTTCAGAGTTGGTGGGTTGGGAGGGGAGTGGAGGGTTGCTATTTTTTTGTCAGTTGTTTCACAAACCAGCATCTTAGTATGCTTGGTATTTCTGAGGCACAGCTGATTCTGCTAGAAGGCTGGTTATTTCTTAGTTGCATTGTAGCACTTTAATGGAGCAATAGTAATAGTTTTGTTCTCTCTTTTCCCTTGAAGTGGGTGGCTGGTTGATTTCCAGCCCAGACCCAATGTGTGCCTCGGGAAGCTCTAATTACCAGTACAGTGGAGCTTTGCCTCTGCCCGCTCCGCAGGCTCCCCACAGCTGTGAGAGATACTCAGCCCTGCGAGGCCATCGTGCTGCTCCATACCCACCCTCCTACATGCAGAGGAATCACTCCCCTACAGGTATTCCTGGAGCACTGCTTTGCTGCCTCTGCCTGCCTGCCCCTTGCCTTAGGTTAGCACAAGCACTGGAGCCAGGCTGAGCTCAGGCTAGCAAAGGGCAAGGTGAGCCTCTGGGACAGCCTGCACAGAACCCTTCATGCACCCAGAGTGACTGAAGCAGCAGAACAAGAGGTACCAGGAGCTGGGTGCACTCTTAGTGATAAACCAGAATGTATGGTCTTGCTTTCCTAAAGCTTCCAGTTATACAAAAAGAGCATTGCAGGTCTTCTTTCCATGTCCTGCCATGACCCAGTTGAGCTCTCAAGTCAAAGGAGGAGCTGAAGGAGGTGAAGGCGTTTTGGTATTGTCAGAACATCCTTTGAGTCTTGTTCCCTTTCTAGATCTGGGGCACATCCAGAAATTGTTTCTACTTCACTCAGAAGAAGTGGGAAAGAAGAGTAGGAATAAAGTAACCTGCTTGCTAATTATAATTTAGCAAGAATTCCTGTTTAATGGAAGTATTTATAATGGAAGGGTTTGGCTTAAAAGGATCCTAAAGATCATCCTGTTACAACCTCTCTGCCATGGGTAGGGACACCTTCCACTAGATCAGGTTGCCTAAAGCTCCATTCAACCTGGCCTTGAAAATTTCCAGGAATTGAACAGTATTTATAAAACTTTATTAAGTATTTTAGCTCAAATTGTAAGAAAATCTGTGTCAAAACATTGCCTGACATGTCAGTTATGAAAAACTATTAGTCAGATTTACAGAAATGCAAATCCTATGTCTGTCATGCTGTCTTCTCATGTATCACACCTGGGATTGCGATGGCACCTTGCTACTCTAAATGAACATGGGAATTTTACGTTCTCACCTGTGGCTGGGACTTTTGTCCTGTTACTTGTGGTTGGGCACCTCATGATCAGATTGCTGCCTTAAGCTTGCCCACTTTTTGCTGTCTTCAGATATTGTCTGCAATAGTCACTGAGGATTTGTTTGTTGCTTTTTTTTCCTCCCCAAAGTTAACTTATTGGAGAGCTCCAGCAATAATCTTCAGGTATTCTCAGGACATGACACCTGGACTTTCCCATCCTCTCCACACACTAATTTGCTCTCAATGCCACACACAAAGGGAGGTGCCAGCCCTGGACCCAGGTAAGGTTACAGGAAAACTGCTGGTTTGAGGAGCACAGAGGTTTGTAGGACTGTCCTGGTGATTTGCCCATTTTTCCAAACTTTAATTAGTGTTCAGGATTTGAAATGTTTCCTAAGTGCCCAAATCAAGACTGCTGGGCAAATATTTCTGAAAAGCTAATTTTCCTCTGCTCTTAAGTCTATGGGAGCTTCGTTTTTTCCCAGCACTGCTGAAAAACAGGATCTTGGAACACCCACAAAGAATTCTGGTCTCTACAATCTGTGAGCATTTAAAAACCAAATTATTTTTCTTCCTATATTTCTCACTGTTATCCTTCATGAAATGAGAAACCTATTCTAGGGGTAGATGGAATTTAGACCTAGCGAATCAATTAATTATCAATTATTTTCCCTTCTTTTCCTGAAATGAATGCAATAATTTCTTCTCTAACTTAGGTGTCAGGAAAACAAGCTGGAACTTCAAATGCACTGTTATTTGATTGAGTAGGTTTTATTTTCAGTGTTTATACCCTAGTGGCTAAGCAGTATCCTGAGACTTTGTGATTTCCCTGTCTAGAAACTCCTCTGACTCAGCTCCTAAGATGGGCACATAAAAAGATCCTTACATTTTGAAATCTCACATATACTTGTACATTTCTCTCCATGCCTCGCTCCAAGTCACTAGGTGTGACAGTTACTGGTGATTTTTCACTTAGGACCTTAAAGGTTGATCTAGTTTGGTAACCTGATTTGAATAGCTGCCTTTGAACAGACAATGAAATTGACTTTACTGTGGCAAGTCTTATGTGGGCTAAATGCTTTGAAATAAATAATTCAATCTGTGCTGCTTTTTTTTTTTTTTTTTTTTCCAGCCACTATCCTTACCTGTGGACAGTGAGCAACAGTGCTGTAAATGTTGCCAACCCAGGAAATGAGGTGAACAGCAGCCCTCCAAGTGTGTTTTTAAGGGGTAATGCCCCCTTACCTGCTGCATCATCAGTGCAAATTCCTCTGCAGGGAATGATGTCTGGCAGCATGGAAACACAAGGGGACGGCACTCTCACCAGACTCTCTGACTCTGCGTGGACATCCTCACACTCCTTTTAATATACAGGCAGCTCCCGAGGGAAGCTCAGCTAACCAAGACTGACACAAATGGCAAAGGATCCCTGAAGATTACAGTGCAGAGATGTATACAGGAAAAGGACTTAATCACTTCCCATAATGTATCTTTTGTGTGCCAGCTAAGCCAAAATGCAAAGGCAGGAAATATTATAGGAACTAGCTTGTTACTGCAACTTTTATGCATCATTCAAGATAATGTCTAGAAGGAATCTTTTTAGTTAGCTTTGCTTCTATATCACAGTAAAAATGATCAGAGAATGGGACTGTGTGAAGCAGACATGGCAGCTGGATACCAGCATGTAATTTTAGAAGTTCCTTCTGTAACTAACAGTCAAGTCTGTGGAAAATTGTGAGTAAGTGTGCAACTAGTGATTTGAAGGGACAGCACTGCTTTAAAGGCTTTCTGAATCTCTTATATAGGGCTTTCACAATACCTGAAACTAAACCCCTCAGGGGATGATCTGACATCCTAATGCCACCTGCATACAGGATTCTCTGTCCCCTTCCCTTCTCTAGCTGCTGTTTGCTCTGTGTGTGCCGTGGGGACAATGGGCACAGTCAAACTGCTAAAGTAGCCTCATTGTAGCAGCAGCAGCAGAAGGGCAGCTAGTTTAGCATTTAGAGTCTGATGTTACAGTCTCAGAAATGCAAAGCTCCAGTGTTTCCATTTTTGAAAGGGTGGAGGGAAAAGAATTATAGAAAAAATATTCAGCTTGCATTTCCACTTTGCTTCAGCTATACAGTACAAATATACTATGAATACATGGTGTATTATCTCCTCAATGCCTTTCCAAGGTGTAAACACACACAGAGTCTTTCTCACCTAACAACCTCTGAGCTATTTAAAGCAGCTCTGCCAGCTGTCTGCTGCTTCAGCTCCCTTTTTCAGGCTCCTGGTTTTTGTGAGTGTACAACATTCAACACAGTGGAGTCCTGATCCTGTCTGGGATTTCTAACCACTACTGTGATGCAAATAACAACAGTCATCCCCCAGTCTCCTGTCCTTTCATGTATGTCCTGGGGCAAGCCCTGTCAAATTCTCAGAGAAGACTTTTGCTGTTTGGTCTCTATAAAGAAAAACTAAAGAAATCTGCAAGCTAACTCATGTAGATATGTCCCTGTATAATGAAAGGCCCAGCAAAAATTCTGGTCTGTTTAGAGTAATGTGCATTGGTAGGGGACCATTTCCAGCATAGAAGAGGATTCTCTATATCTCCTGTGAGCTGATGTCTCTGCTTCTGCTAGATACAGCAACATTCCTTTTTTTAATACTCAATTACTGCATACAGACTCTGGGAGCGCCATTCTATTTTGGTAGACACTAGAGGCAGCAGCAAGAGAAGCCTTTTGATACACATCTGCCTGGTGAATTCAGCAAGTTTCTGTTTGATATTCTATTACCTGGCCTGGAACCCCTTTAAGTTGCTCTCAGTGTTCGACATTTTCATGCCTTCCCCATCTGGTTTTTCAGGTCTGCTGCAGGCAAGAGCATGTGCTACAATGTCCTCAGTATCACTGTTAGCTTTGCTGACTTGTGCTGCAATCCCCTAAGATTAAAGTAATGAAGTTGCTTTGGGTGTGCATTTTTATTAACATAAAAATGTTTTTGTTAATATAAAAATAATATATAAAAATATAAGTGGAATTGGTCAAACAAGATTTAATAGAGTGGAAAAAGCTCTGCATCCTGCTATCAGTCAGTTCTGACTGCAAATCTGCTTTCCCATATCCTGACAAAAGCTTGGTGATGAGTTTTTCAATGTTATGTTTCTCTATCTTGCAGCAAGAAATGTAAGTAGGTGTTTCTCTCAAAAATAACTCTGCTTTACAGATGAGGTTTATTAACTAACTTATGCTACCCTCTTCTGGCTGTTCAGGTCCCCACAGACACACCACACACAGAGTCTACATAAAGATGCTAAAAAGCAGGCAAGTGGTGATTTCTCAGTGTTCCAGGACTTGCAATGTTTCTTTCATAGTTAATAATTTGGATAATTTCTTATCCCATATACTGCATTACAGTAATACATGAGTAATTATAAGGTGTTACTCAAACTGTATTTTTATTTCACAAACGTTTGTTTACATTGTTTAATGTAGGGGAACATCTAATTTGCTTTCCTGGCAGTCCCATAGGATTGAAAAAATTAAAAAATTATCCAAATGAACAGGCAAAGTAATTTTTCTTCCTTTCCACTGTAAAAGCAGGCATGACTCCTGTCAGAGGAGGCAAAAAGTTCTGAAATCTCAAAACTGAGCTAAGTCTTTGTCCTTGCAGAAAAACTGATTTAGCATGACCCTGAGAAATAGCACAGAAAGATAAAATACCCTTGGTTTTCTCACTATCCATGCCCCTATCTCAGTACAAGCTGGTATTTGTAACCCAAATCCTTTGGCTTGAGGATAGCAGGGAGTATACTGACCTTGGATTTCGTGTTGGGGAGTTCTGCAAGGAACAAGGAGTAGGACTTCATCCTTATGGGTTCCTTCCAGCTTGAGATTTGTGAGTCTGATCTATAATTTTGCAACTCTGGTAAATGATTTGGGAACTGCTATCTGTTTTGGACAGATTACTTCTAAGCAGCGGAACCACTGGAGAAAGCTTTTGCTAACTATTCGCAAGAAAAGCTGCTGTTCTATCTTCACAGCTCTCCTTATCCAAGCACAATGGACTTCCCTACAGTGAAGTAACAGGCTGGGATGCTGGCTGCAGTGTTCTTCTGTGGAAGGCAGATTCCCTTAAACTGTGTGTGAAACTGTTCCTCTCCTAATAAACCATTACTGTGGATTTGGTTTTGCACCAATAGTGCACTTGTTTCTCAGCAGATTTCTGCTTGGCATTAAAACCCATACAAGGATAATTTCTGAATGAGTATTTCCCTGGTTGTTGGAAGCAATAACTGAAATGGCAGTATGAAAAGAGAGAAAAGAGCCCTCTCTGCAGTTTTTATATATGTTTTGATAAAATCACTTTCTGACTTTGTGGAAAAGGAATATATTAAAACACTGGAATAGCTCTTTAGAGGTTTCCAGGGTAGATATGCTACCTGGTATTAATAATAGTTGTAGTTTTTAACCTGATTTGATCACAAAGCCTACACAGTAGGTTTTTATCCTGCCAGAAGCAATGGTTGGTGCCTCTCTGGCCTCTCCCCAGGACAGCCAAGGGGCCAGGGCTTGCTCCATGCAAATCTCCATGTTATTAGAGGAAGGAATCCTTTACTTTTAGTTTCTACAGGGCTTTAGCACTGTACTCACCTACTAAATGTGAGGCTGCAGGGTGGTTTTTGTGACACCTCATTTAAGTGCATTAAAAAAGAAGTGGAGTGTAGGTGCACAGTTTGTGGTGATTGGGAGTGGGGCTGTGGTTGAGCCTCATCCCCAGTGGGCACACCTGTGAGAAGCTGTGGGAATCCAGGGCTTCCCTCTGGCTGCCCTGGAAGGCTTAAGACCTTGATAGGGGGTCAAGAACCCCCCTGTACAGAGCTCTGAGAGACACTGTCTTTGATCTCTGTTTATGGAAAAGAGTTTTTAATTTTACAGGATGAATTACAAGCTCTGAGTGTTTGATATAAGTAATAATTAAGTGAGACACAGGTGTAAAAGTAAAATTTAAGGATTTTAGATTAGGGGTCTATAGGGGGACAAGATAGAGGAAACTGAGTATATCTTGTCCTTTTTCTTTATGCCCTCTATGTTTCACTGTAGTGTTGGTATTTTTCTATTAGTTTAGGTTAGGAACACACTGTTCAATGTAAATGATAGATATTAGCACATTATTGTAAATATAACACACCTAGTTTCTAGGATATAATGTTTGTAACATCCCATTGAGGGGCAGAGCCCCACACGCTGCCCTGCAGGACAGACTTGCGGCAGGGCAGCAGAACATGCTATAAATAAGCAAAAATAAACAACCTTAAAACTAACACAGACAAGTTATGACTTCTTCTTTAACAATGTCTTGGTTTGACAAGACAGGAGTCTGTGAAGGAGGGCAAAAGCCTCCTGTGCAATGGAAAAGGTAAACCCCCTCCCTCTGAATTACTAGGATTTTTAAATTAAAAGGCTCTCAGCCAAAGATATGGGAATGGGAGTAACAATTCTTTACTAGGAGAAAACTAGATAACAATTTAAAAAGGCAAATGCAATTGGTACAAACAAAACTAGTGATAGTCTACAACCTGACACCCTGAGGAGTCAGGGTGTTGGTAGCAGTCCGGTTGAAATGATAGCTGCTCCTCTTGCAGTGGCTGATGAATTGCAGCTGAAGTGGTGATCTTTAGAAGGGTATAGCTTTCTCTGAAGATCTGGTGGCAGTTGGGCCGGTCTTCCTCTGCGCCGGGGCCACCTCCGAGCTCCGCCGCCGCTGCCTCACCGCGCTCCGGCTGTTTCTCTGGGAATCCTGCCGAAGGAGCTGCTTCTCTGGGAATCCCGCAAAGAGAGAGAGAGCTGCTCTGTCTCCCAAAAGGTACCACTTTATACAATAAAAGAGTGCTTGGCTTCCCCCTCTGGGTGGAGCATCTCACAATGGGATGGTGTTACATTACCAGGCCTACAGTGAGTCAGTCAATGGCCCATTAACAAACCATTACCTCTTCGGAGCAAACCATTGTTCTTGGACGAAATAACAAACCTGCCCAACCTCCAACAGATGGCAAATAGAATACAAGCTTATCTTACAAACCAGGACAAACAATGAAGCAGAAAGACAGAGACTTTTTACAATCTCAGAATCATCAATACCTCAGATTCCAACAAGAAGCAGGTGAGCAGCACTGAAGGTAATGACCTGTGGAGGGCCCAGGTGCCCTGACCAACCACCAAAGGGAGCAGAGGGCACACAGGTGCAATACATGAACGTGAGGGGTATAGAAGGTTGGGCTAAAGACCAAGAAGGGCGGATGCTTGAAGCCTTCTGATGGGGTATGGTGTTAATCTGTGTGGGGATGCTTAAAGGTTTCTGATACTGTGTGGTACTG